AGATTGTGTGTTCAAACTCATTGATATGCATTTAGAGTTCCCTTAGAATGGTCAAACATCAAATCATATACATATATGAATGATCCAAATAAAAAAAGTATTAAGATTGAGCAAGATAAGAATCAAAACAATTAAGTAGCGTTCAATAGAACGTCTTTGGGTTTGTTAAAAGAGAGTTTTTTAAAGTTAAAAAAGAGAGATTTTGTGTTAGTTGTAACCCCGATACAAAAGCTCAGGTCCATGGGCGGTTTTCAGGTGTCCGTGGACGGTTGAGGCATGCATTAGAAACTTGGCGTTAAGAAATGTTGATCATTTTACGAGCACCGTGAGCCCCTTTTGCCAATCCCTACAAGGAGACAACTACGATTCACGACTTTCCTCTGTAACCTTTACTTCGTGTCTGTATAAATTTTTTACCACAAACAATGCCCATATATAACTTAATTTGAGGTTGCCATTGGAACTAATATTATTTTACACAATCCGTGAACTTTTAGTTACGTACTTCATCTCGTTTTGAAGTTCAAAGCAAAACAAAACATTGTTTTGTCCGGGCTTGGACTCATCGTACATAGTTCACGGAGTCTATACTCAAAGTCTTAACCTCATATAATTGTAAACAAAACAAATATTCATAGCCCGAACCTTGCTATGAACATACTTGTTTCTCTTAAGTAAGCACTTCTCTCTTAAGTATGCAAAATCTTCCTATTATCAATTAGCACCTCTGTGTTAAGTATGCAAAATCTTCCTAGTATCAATTTGCATGTTTTACCTGTATATTACTTTATAGATAGAGAGCTATCTCGTCGCACATGTGGACACAAAACATGTAATCCTAACAAAGCGTTAGTTATCTATTTAACCTGGAGCCAGGTTTGATAAAAAGTAGTAGGATAGCTTTCTTTTCTCGGAGAACAAAAGTCAACATTTTATCACTTAGCTAGTTAGTGCAAATCTATGCGACGAGTTTGTGCATCTGAACAAGACTTTAGAGTACACTCGTGAATTTCAGATTTTTTTTTGAGAGTTGACATTCTTTGCATTATTTTATGCTATGTGTGGAACTGTGCTATGCTATTATGCTGTGCGAATAACTGTTGAGATCAAAGAGAAATGTAGAATTTTCTTTGTAAATGTATTGCAAGTTTTATTAGAAATTCCCGTCTGCTCCGTACTATGTCTTGGGTGAATTGCAGAATCATTTAAGGGTTTCACGAGAGGTTCACATCTCTATTAGGAAAAATTACAAGTCATAATCATAAGCTTCTATTGAAACATTTCAAATACATTATAGACCACTCGGTCACAATGTGCGACACCACTGTCGAGACTGCAGTTTAATTGGCTTCTCACATGTTGCAGTCGTATTACAAAGCGCCATTCTATCACTATTAGATATGAAAGCTCCTGCCATCTACAATTTTTTTATAAAAATTAGGGTTTAGCCCAACCCATTTAGAAAAAGTAATAGCAGATCTCTGCAAGAAGGTTACGAATCCGTTTTCATGTCTTGTTTGCTTAGATCTATGACATAGGTTTCCACACGAAGTTTTGGTGATCTGGGGAAGATGTTAGTGAAGTACAGTATATCTATTGAGTATTTTGGACTTTGCCAGATTTTTGTGATCAACGACTGTTGGATCAGATATTGTTGGTGTCTTCATTCAGACACAAAGTATTAACAGTTATTCATCCGTAACATCGACAAAGTCAGTGTCATGGAGATAATAGTCCAACCGAATAGTTGCGACCGTGATGAGCAAATTCTTGGTAGTTGGTAAATAGTACCAGGCCATGTACTGTATTCAGGAATAGCAGTATCATAACATGTGAATGAAATCCATGGTGGTATAATCGCAATATACAAACAGTATTTTGATTTTCATTCTTTTGATACCTAAGGATATGAACAATTTATGACACGCCGTGTTCGTTCTTTCGCTTCTTGGGCATTGGAAGCGTATCTGGTCTTGATGATTATGTGATATGGTCCACGATTTGTCTGATCACCTTGTGAAATACATTTCCATTCACATCCCAGTTGTCGAGTTTTCTTGTGTGGGAGGATATTCGATTATGATGTTCAGTGTCCATGCTGTGGAACCTCTAATCATTGCACTTTGAAGAAATTTGATTGAAAGTTCATAAAAAACGGATAATAATTGTATTTTCAGTCTTTTCTGTCAGTTCCATAACAGGGTCAGAACTGACAAATTTTGTCTCAATAAAAAATTAGACTATATCGATCGAACGTCAGTGTAAGGAAAAGAATGAAATCATACGAGAAGATGATGACCGATCTTCACTCTGACAGATCGACCACACTCAACGCAATATAGGCTATTTTTTTTTTGGATATAAAAGTAAGAGGCTATGGATATATTTGTAACAGTTCACAAGATAAACTGACAACTATGAAGACTCCCTCTCAGGGTTTGACAGGGGTAGCTGAAACATCTGGTCACCCCAGGAAGGTGCCACAAAACGTCGGACCTAGCCCCAACCTTTTAAATTGAGCAATCTTGATTTGTCGGGGTCACCCAGATGTGTACAGAAAAAAATATGAAGGTTCTCAAAACTGTTTTAAGTTCTTCATCCTCTGTTTACAAGAGGGTGTCCCCGGGTTCTGCCCTAAAAAGCCTGGGGGTAACCCCCTGTTAGCGAGAGGGAGTTTGGCGGTTTCCTCCCGTTGTCCCCCTATCCCCGAAGTCACTTAACTATTCCCGGGGGAATATTAAACGCCGCTCCCACTTCCAAGAGCCACGTAGGGGCTTCATCGACCATTGAAGTATTCATCCTTAATTCGTAAACTTTTGGAACCATATCTTAGTACAACCATGAGGAAGGAGTAAGCAGCTGAATTTATACCCAACATCCTCTTGTGGTCCACCAAAACCTTTGTCATGCTAGCCACTTGAACGAGCATCACAACAGTAAGAACATCCTCGGTTTCCAAGAATCAGTTAATAGAAGTACAAGTCGTATGCATGCTACACATAGCCAGGGACAGGAGAAGTTCTTCAGATGCGTTCTTTTGAGGGAAGCTATAACTTTTAAGGACATTTTAATGAGGGTCTAATTTTACTTCGTTTCATTGTAGTTCACTTTATTTAGAGGGAAGGAACGCACGCAGTTTTATACCCTGCAAACTGATGTGACTAATTAAAACTGAGGAAAATGGTGAAATATACGGGGAAAAAAAGTTGCTAAGTGGATAAAAAATTGAAGTAAGACCCAAAGTAGAAAACGAATTGGCTATTGGGCTAGGGCCAATATCATCATGGCTCCCATCAGTGTGAAGCAAAGCAGAGCGAAAATATTTAAAGATGAAAGTTCTAATGATTCTTCCTTGCTTAAATCAAGTACAAGCCACCACAAATGATTAGCAAACATGAAAATATCATCATGAGATGTTAAACTTTTGATTATTAACGGAGCCAAAGAAGAGGCATACTGCAGTCCTTTGCTGTAATTAAAACGATCAGAGAGTGCCGCATTAAGTGAAAACTAGTCGTCCACATAAAATATATTGTGGAAGACATGCAGCTTATAATGTGCGGCACAAGTGTGATCAATGACCACAACACCAAATCTAGAATGGATTACAATAATATGATTATTACTGTAAGCACCAATCAGACCATCACATACATTAATGCTCTGAATTTGCTTGGGAAACATAATTGCATGTTAACACTTTGACCCACGACTAGCTAAACATTGGCAAGTCCTGACATGTAGATGTGGTTAAACTCCGTCCGCTATAGCGGACCGAGTTATCTTCGAGTTTAATATACAGAGTTAAATCTCTCAATATCAACATTGGAATGGCAATAATCGGAATTATCTGGAACATCCCAACCCCATCGGGTGTCGCCACTAAGAAGGGTCATTTATAGAATTATAAAATACATAGATTTTCATATTGTACATTACATCAGTCCTGGTATATTTCTATAAAAGTGTTGTTTGTTTAAAAATGATTCTATTTGTAATTCACGGCAGTTAACATAGAGATTATAATTACGTTTGAATTTCTATTGATAAAATTTTTTGAATTAAACAATTGATAATAATATACATCACAAAATATTTTATTGCAACCTAGAAAAAATTTATTTATGAGATAGATTTTTAAATAAACGTTTTTCACATTCTTATTTCTCTATTTTTTGTATCTGTATTGTAATCATGATAAGAATTTTATCTCCTAAATAATCACTATTAGATAATATCATATTATTATTGATAATGTAATGACATACTATTCTTATTGAATAGATTTACAAGTTATAAAATAATAATTTTCAAATTGTACATCATTAATGAAAAAATATATTATTTGGAGATTTAACTCTGTAATATTATAATTCTAATATTTTCATTTCACCCAAAATTCTTGTATTATATAAATTCAGCATACTAGTTGAAGTGTGGTTTACTACATATCCACTACATTAATACTGATTTCGTTCACGTATTAGGTACCCGGGGGTTGGCAACCCGGGTACCTAATATGGTTGGAAAAACTGTGATTTTACTCAATAAATTGGACGGAGCTAAAAATGGATGAGAATTGGACGCAAAGACAGTGAGACATGGCGGATGGCTTCTATAAACTGCTTCGGAGAAAAATAAGCATGACTTTAATTGGTTGGACGTGGGCAACATCGAGATTGGATGTAGTTAGTTAGAGATGCCATAAGTGAGTTAAGTGACACAAAGAATCAAATGGCGCCTCAGAAGTTTACAAATTTGAGAGTCCACAATCCATCGTGGGGGAATAAGCTGCTTGGTAGATAGAGGTCAGACCAGTCTTAATTGTTATCTTGGATGGAGGGAAACGCATCGAGAACAAGAGTGACGCTTTTAAGGCCAGAGACTGGGAGAGATTAATATAACCCACTGATTACTGGTGTGTTCCCAAGGAAGAACTCAAAAGGGAAAGGAAGGCAATAAATGGAGCCTTAAAAGACGAAGGGAATGGCGAGTGGTATACCATAAAAAGAGGGTACATGCAGCCGAGGACGAGAGGCGAGACACAGAGGGAGAGAGTGGGGAGGGAGGGGGGGGCTGCATGGGCTGCTGCTGCTGCTGCTGCTGCAGGAGGACTCCAGGAGTGATTGAGAAGAGAGCAAGAAGCGGCCGAGGGCACGAGGCCTGAGCTCAAAGCACGGAGCTGTCAGTGTCAGAAATCGCTGCATGCAAGCACAATGTGGGTTTGGTGATTCGAAAGCACGCAGAATTTTAGAAGAATTTCAAATCTGTCCGGCCAGAAAAAGGAGACGGACGCGAAATGCGCAAGGCCTTGAAGACAATTTGGAAGGTTGACTGAGTGTGCTGCTGGCGAGCCTACCCGCGCTGAGTCTGCCTTCTCCCAATCCTGGAGCCATCAAATCAAGTCCATCCCTGACCTGAATACACTGCACGCTCTGTCTGTCCGTCCGTCTTTCTTGGCCCCATCTCCCACTTCTCTCTCTATACCTCTCTCTCTCTCTCGGCTTTGAATGGCATGAATAGGACTGACGTCCACTCCTGCGGTTGGTGGAGAATCAATGCACGCGTCACAACCGGCCTCGCTCTCGAGTTTAGCTCATCTGATTGATGGTGAGTGGTACGAGCAAACAGAGCATCAGCTCCTTACGATTCAACGACCTTCATTCTGTCTTGTGACATTTCTTCTCCTGATCGCCGCAGCCAGCCACACAGCCCGTGCTCCCATTTCCCCCCACACTCACTGCGCTCCCCCGCAAGTCCAACATCAATGTTTGCACTTCCTTGTTCCGTCTGTCAGTGGGATGAAGTCACATCACGTACTAGCGACGAGTGAGCGAGAACCAAACTGCCCATGAACCCATTTCCTTCTGCAAGCGTCCACTCGGAGCTTCCTTTCCTGTCTGACGGCTTGATAAGAGTCTGATCACCTACCTCATCACACTGCTGTTGTTGCTCATGAAGTTGTTTGCGCAGATTTAAGGCGCTGGCGCTCGGTTCGTCGTCGGCCTCAAGCTGGACCTGAGAATCGGGAGCGAAGAGCTCGACCGAAGTGCCACGGAGCACCATGAAGCTTGGCGGTCAGGGTTGCTTGAAGCTGAATCAGGGGTGCCTGACATTGACCAATCAAGGTTGTCTACTCCCATTGCTGCGAAGGCGAGTCTCTGCGAAAGGGAGACCTGTGCGGATTAATGGCGACGACGACGACGACGACGACTTGGAAGTGAATCAGACCATCGTGATCACTCCCCAGAAAGAGCAGTCCGAGTCCGCGGCGCACAACAAACCTCCGCCTCCGACGAGGATCAATTTCAGGCAAGAGACGCCTTCGAACGTGGACTCCGAGACCACAGCTCGTCTGACTCTCGCCAAATTCTTCGCAATTCTGCGCGACGCGTATGTGTGCACCATGATGTCGTTCGCCACCAAGGGAGGATTGGGGGCTGTCACCATGGGAGGCAATATCAACCTTCCCTCTTCTGTACCAGCACGCCCCGCCGTCAAGCCCGCCATTATGAGCAGCTGACGGCCGCCACTTCACCTGCGCTCAATATACTCACGGAGCTTCTTTGTATTCGGCATTCGCTTCGTATATATTGTCCTCCATCGTTCTCGATTATCGATTCCTCACAGCTCACGGCTCGATGTCCGCCCGCTTCGAGATTTCGGACGTCTACACGTTCTCGACGTCGACAGCAGAGGCGGACGGGGTCGGATCACTGAGAAACAATGCGCCGAATTTGTACACTAACTTCTCTCCACGAAGCTTGACATGGATTGAGAACACTCGTCACGAACGCAGTGACGAGCTTGTAGTCCGAGGGTTGACACGATAATAAGATCGGCCCAAGTTGGCCTGGATAAATATACTCAATTGATCAGCATCCGGTTGCGGGGGCGATCATACCGCCGGCAGTCTCAGGGATTTTTCGACAAGGATCCGGAGAGGGCTCTGTGTGGAGAAAGCGTAAATTTGGTTTCAGCATGGATTGAAGCTTCGGAAGGTGCGCTCCAGCAGACGCGAATCGACGAATCCATCATTGACTACCTCGGTAGCTTGATGCAAGTGGACCGATTCAAGATGTGGGTTTAGACAATCCTCGGAATGGTTCTACTCGACCATAGCTCACGAATGGGCAGTCGTCTCTTCTGTATTTATAGAGTACGTAGATTTTGGACCATCCTGCTGACGCGCCTCTATCGAGTGGTCTTCGTGCGCTTCACGTACCAGGGCCTCGTTTGGCAACGCTGACAATGTTCCTGGATCGGAGGTAGTGTCTTAAAAGCTCGATTGTACTGCTTCAAATTCGCTATATTTATAAATAAAAGAAGGAAGCAATTCCGTATTGTGCATGACAGGCTCTGGTTCAGTCGATCAATTGATCGAGGGATTCCTTGCCTCTGGATGAAATAATCGAATTCACCTTTACTGATTGGAATGCTAGGTCACGCGTTTGATTATTTCCCGTGAGTTATTGCTGAGATTTTCGGAGATGTGAAAATCTGAGCCTACATTGCCTTTGATATCGATACGATGGAGACGCAGGATCGATGAATCTCTGCTGCACGACACAGTTCAGCAGAGCAAGTAACGACTGCAAGAGCGGGTACTAGTCGACTGGCTCATATGAACGCCAGCCCACCACGACGTTCTGATGATGCAGTCAGGATCATACATTTCACTCACGGCAGGCGTCAAGTACCAGAATTTCTTGTCAAAGGTGCTGAAGCTAGTGCCGTTGTTGGCTGGTGACCGACACTCCTGCCAAAGCTTGCATGTGACCGACCCCACAGCGCCATGAACCGTCCGTGGAACAGCTTCGAATAAATTATTCGAAACGGGAACCAGTATTAAATCTTTTTCTGGATCACGAATCTACAACATTTCGTAGCATGTTCCTGAAATTTTTGAGCATTTCAGTCGCTTCGCTGGTCTGTCTGTTAATGTCGTTCGTTTGGTTCAAGCTGAGACGTCAGAGGATGCTTTTGATGGTGGTTCTGTGATCGGCAATGAAGTAAGACATTTGCTATGACGTAGTTTCTTCCGTTTGACACTTTTATTGCATAACGAATTTCTCTACGTGACAGAAACCAGCGACGATTGATTTGGAAACGCTTTTACAATTGTCTTTCCCAAGGTACAGAATTGGAGTACGTGACAGTGAGGACAAACGAACTCGAACTTTTCAGAGACAGAGAAGAGAAGTAGAGCGAGTGAGCGAGGTGCAAACTGCCAACAGGATCACAGAGAGAAGTCAAGGGAATGTTGGAAGTTGGCAGTTGGAACAGACAGAGCGTGATATTCATCCACTTGCATGTGACAACTTGCCCCACACGGACAGAGTAGTAGCAAGACATCGCTTCGAGCGCACGCACATTGGTGGCATTGCGAAGATCTGGAGTTGGTCGGCAAAACTTCGCGGTCACCTCGCACACCTTACGCGCGCAACATGTCAGGAACGTCAATCCACAACAGACGAGCGTCTCCCACTCTCTCCCGCCCCCACTCTCTCGTGCGACGTCGACCGAACCGCTTGCAATCGTCCTCGAGTGGGGCAAGGCCAAGTGCCCTCGAGGCGAAAGCTGTGGACAGTTTCGATGTGGACTTCACCTTCCACTGCAATGTACTGCTTCTCCCATCAGCAGTACCTTCTCCGACCATCGGATTCGAGGAAAAGCCATTATGAGCAGTACCGCGCCCAGTCTGGATTAATGCGCCTGGCACGGCTGTTCAGAAAGACTCTGAATCTGTAGTGGACCGGATGGTGCCTGCACGTCAGCACAAGGCGAAAATGTTCAGGTCCCGGCGTTCATTAAGAACGACGGAGCAGTTGTCGAGGAAGGAGCCAAAATACCTGTGTGCTCCAACGAGTGGGCTCGGAGGCTGCTGGTGCAGGTGCATGTTTATGACGGTGGCTCAAATCACTGCCTGTGTCGGAATTTCATTCACGAGTAACTGACATTTGACCATGCAGCTGACGAAACAATGGAGTTTGAATGTCCAGAGGAAGTCGGTCCTTCTGTCCGATGGAGCGGATTGCACGTTCCATCCTAGAAGATCGTTTTGTGTGAAGCTGCCTATTTCTACTGCTGAAAAATTTCTCCTCACTCCCGCACAAGGATCTTGCATTGATATCACATGTAGAAGGAGATTTCAGCCGAGGGTTACAGAAGATGTACACCGAAGAATCCTTGGAACTTCAATCCGATCTCGTCCTTTATTGTTTTCATCGCTTCAGATGACGAAGTTCTCCGCCCAATAAGTTGGAAATGGAAATGGTCTTCCGAAAGTACGATTCGATAGGCATAATTGCCATGCCACAGCGGGAAAATCGAGTACAAAACACTCTTTGTTATTCGTAAAATGTCCCCCAGACGATTTTAAAGTGCTGATGGTGTATTTCGAGTTGGCTCTCTACCTCTGTCTTGTAAAACAGGGGTGGCTGGGGATAGTGAGTCTTCGACTTCGACCTGAAGATTTAGAAGCCATTGACTGCTGCCGTATATGTGGTGACGTCGTCGAGGAAGGAAGCTTGACGCAAGCATGCTAAGCTCAAACGTATTTACAGTTGATAGTTCGCTTTTACTCGGCTGTCAACCAGAGTAACAGCAGAATGCCGCTGCTAATCAGCGAGAGCTTTTTCCTCTGTAATAAATGGAGATTTCAAGAGGTCCTGAACCCCTCGGTCCTGCGTTAGCCGCGATCTAGATGTACTAATCTTGAAGGTTTGCAAATGCTTTTGATACGTTTATGGCGCCGACGTGCAGTCCCATGGCATCGGTGGATTGAATGGCGGTTAAATCAGAGACATTACTGAAGGGTCGTGATGGCTTCACCCGATTCTTTCAATCGATGCCCACTTCCTGTAGATTTCCATCAGGAAGACTTGAGGACAAATTAGATGAGAATTTTAGACTATCCACATTTGTACGCACCGCAATTCCTCTGGTTCCAGTAGGGAATGTAAGTAGATTGAACAAATTGGCCCCAGGACGCAACAGCCCACTGCGAATCCGGCTAAAAGGGCCTTCAGTGACACCCATTTGAAAATTTAAGAGGTTTTGTTCCTTGTCTGCTGTGAACAAAGTTGAAGACGGGAGAAGTGAGGGACTGCAGCTGTTTTTGCCGGGTGGCCCTCAGACGCCTTCGTTTCCTGGGGAGGACATATTCTCAAGAACATGGTGTTCGACTGATAGAGCTCTGGTGAGCTCGATGGCAGATGGCCCGAGAGATTCCACGAGAGGCTCAGAACTGCCAGGCCTTCAATATCACGAATACTCTAAAAAATGCCCCTGATGAGAGAGACTTGCGGGAAAGATTCAGGCATTCGATAGAGGTCATAGACCCCCATTAAGATGGGATTTCTCCAGTCCAGCTGTTTGTGGATAGATTGAGGCCCCTTAGCCTTGAGGGGGATAGTCCCAGTAAGTTGATTCGTCGACATATCCATCAATGCGAATATCTTCAGTGTCTAAGTGAAGCTCGTTAGAGTTCCATTGTCCCACACGGTCGTCAGGAACTGCGCATTGATCCAGAACTTGCCAGTGCCGCTATCAAACATCGCCATTAGATGGTCCCCAGTTCCAACCATTGTGGAGATAGATGTTCTCTTGAAGTCATCAATGCACTGGATGGTTACAGGAAGATGTCCAGTGAAGCGATTATCTGAGAGGTCCAGAACCTGCAATCCTCAGCTTCCAGACGCAGTTCGGGATCTCTCCCTCCAACTTAGTCTGACTCTTCAGAACCTGAAGATAAGGCAGCGCTCTCCTTGCAAAGCCCTCCAGAATACCTGACGCCTCGTCACTGTCGACGTCCAGAGTTCTCAACAGACCACAGTGCTCCAAAGAGCGTGGAATTGCTCGGCCAAGCCGGTCGTGGCCCAAAGTTAAGAGGGAATTCCTGAGATTGCCGATCCTCGGCGGAATCTTTCTATGCAACGCATTGGACTACAGGAATAAGTAACCCATCTTTGTACCATTGGAGATGAAAGCCAGTGTGGAGGCATTCAGCCAAATTCGTCCTAGCAGAAGTTCTTTCAGAAAGCTCAGTCTATCTATCGAGCTCTTTGGGATTCGCCCCTGTGAGAGAGTTGTCTGGCAGCGCCGGAGCTGACAGCGAGGAACAATTGACGACAGAAACAGGTATGATCCCTGTCAACTTGTTGCTGAAAATATACCTCGCGTCGACAGACCACTAAGCTTTTCCAACTTCGTTAAGATACTTCCCCAGAGTTTATTGCTGGACCCCACCAAAATCTGAGCAGTTGGTCAAAGGAGGAGGTATAGTAGCCTGGAGTAAATTCTCATGAACGTACAACCTTTGAAGCGAATTCAAACGGCCAATCTCTCGAGGTTCGATACTGCTCAGCGGATTTGTTGACACGTGCAATGCCTGCATGTTCGTGCAATTGACCAGGAAACGATGCAAGGAGCCCTACAGGTTGTTAAGAGAAGCCATGAACTATTCTATATTCAATATCTTCTGGTATTCTCCAGTTAAGGATGTTCTGGGGAGGCCCAGAATGACAACAGCTTTGAACTCGTGACGAGCAGTACTGATCTTCTACTGTTACATTTTTGTTGACTTACATGCAACCACTTGAAACTCCAAATTCTGTAGCACTATTTCTTCCCACATTAAACCCTCAGATATGGAGTTGATTGCAGCAGACCCTACCTTGAGCTCGGAACAATCTACTAGAGAGGCTGAAAGTGAATAAAAAAGTCCAAATCTAAAACATACAGACCTCTAAGTTGGCGAGATTCACAAGTATACTGCAGGCAATATACCCCAAGTGCGTTCGTTGGAGGCAACATACAACCGCTCAGCTTTGAACAATATGCTATTGAGACTGGTATTGGACCAGTAAGTCCATCGCTATAAAGATGCAGCTCCGTCAGATTGGCTAGTTCCCCGAGCTTCTCTGATACAATCCCAGAAGGATTGTTTGATGCTAGAGACAACACCCTCAATTTAGAACAATTTACTATCGAGCCAATCAGTTGATTGTTTTTGATTCACAGCATTCCAAATTTGCCAGCTTTGAAAGCTCCTACGAAATGCTTGCCGTTACATTGCACCAAGAGAGTTCCACTAGCCTCAGCTTTGGAGAAGCTACTAATGATACTGGTATTGGACCAGGGAGACCGTTCTAAAAGAGATACAACTCCATATCAGAGAGTTTCCAAGCTCCTGCGAGTTACGACCAGTGAAGTAGTTATTATCAGCATCCAGTGTCCTGGCTTCGAACAGTGCCAGCGAGTTTAGTATGACACCACTCGAATCGTTTCTGTAACTTACCAAGTCCTCCAAATTCGCTAGTTTCCCAGGTTCCTCAGGTACATTCCCAAGAAGGTCGTTGTATCCGAAAGAGAACACCCGCAGCTTTAAATCATTTGCTCTGACCAAGGCATTGAGCCAATGAGCACATTGCGGTCAAGTTACAACTCCCTCCAAATTCTCCAGCTCCCCAAGCTCATCCGGTATACTTCCATTCACAGCGTTGTTTACAAAATCCAGTCAAACAAAACTTTTCAGCTTGCCGAGATCCGGCGAAATGCTTCCGGTGGGAAACAGCTGCGCAAAGTAAGGATTTCTGCCTAAAGACCTACTAAGAGTGCCATTTTAAGAGTGCCCGGGAGCACCAGAGCCAGTTTGCGGCTGGAGTTGCTGCAAATGACGCCAGTCCAAGAGCAGAAACTGGACAAGTTCACTGGACTCCAATGGTAAGCGTCCAAGCGGGTCGCCATGAAATCCCCTATTAAACTGCAATAATGCATCCTTGTGTACATTGTGGCCACAAATTCAAAATTGAAGTTCATGGCGATTTGATCTCACACAATTTCAAGCCTGAATACATTAGCCGGTCATATATACACAATGAGGACAGAAGCGCATTTTTTGAAACCTCACATTACTGTACCTTACTCGACCATCTAGTTGTAATTACAGTCTATCTGTTATGAATCCAGCGTATTCAACCTTTAGTTGAGATTTTTCTTATTGAGCCAGTCTATTCATAGCTCTACTATTCCAGGCAGTAATTAATATTGTTCACAACCATAATATAGAATACATGTTACAAAAAGCGATGGCAGAGAATAATGTGAGTCAGAGTCTAAGCAATCTTGAGAAGGAACTATGGTGGCCAGCTGCGCGGCACTTTTTGAATAAGCTCACTGTACGAGGAATTTCTTGATAGTCGTTTGGAACTTAGGACTTCGGCTCCTGTAGTATGGAACTTGTGGCTGCCGCCAAGATTTTCAAGATTCCTGCTGGATACGAAGACTTAATAGGATACTTTGTAGATTGGAGGGGCTGATGATGAATGACGTTCAGGAATGAGCACACAGTCACGACTGGAGCCAACATCAGTATACCCATGCACTTGCAGTTGAGCGCGAATGCGATTTCCATTGCAGATCTAGAAAGGTCTTCTTATACTCTTGTACTCACAGCGTCATTCTCAGACTGGGCCAAGATAATCGGTGCCAGGCGTATTGTTGGTGACCTCGATGCGCAACTTTCGTCTGCTGCATTCTGAAATCAGCAACCTGCAATCTTCAATACTAATGAGTTGATCATTTGAAGCTACATGAAAGAACCTCCTGTTACTCACATTCTTTCCAAATATTCAAAAGTTTCCCGTTCTGATCATCTCGTCACTTGTTCATGTCGTCCTGAGCTTTACAGCGTCGTATCTCAAGTTCAGATCGACTCGAGTGCCGTCAATCTAGCGTACAATTTTCTGCAGGAAGCAAAGTAGATAAAAAAGGGCAATTTCTTTAGACTTTTTACTCGGGAAGGTACTGATCTAGCCTCGAGTGGAAGGGTACCGCGATCTTCCTTTGTATTCCGCACAGTACAGATGGTTTACAAAGATTTTACATTTCCATTCAACGGAAGATCGATATCTCTCACGCTAAAAAACATGGATTGAGAAAATTAGGGAGTTAACGAAATATGTCACACCCGACATCGTGTTGAATGCTTTTTGTTCGAGATAAGGAATTATGGATCTGACTTACTACACTTCTAAACATATCAACAACCTTGTTTATTTGATTCTCATATATGCCAATGATATGAAAGATGAAGAAAGTCTGATCTGTAAGTTAATCTGCTCTGAGTGTGGACTCAACTCCTCTAATGATCTGATAACCTCAATAGTATATTTTGCATTACAATAATGAGCATGTATTTGTTTTGCTGGACACATGAACTATTTCACTCATCCATTAATAGAGTAGAAGGAACAGGTGCTAGATCTAATCTTTGCTCATATCGGTTACATGATCCCTAATGGCAAAGATGAGATCTAGAACTTTTCAACTAAAGTTTATCCTCTACCACGAACATACATCTCACCCATAAATTCGTGATTTCATTGGACGTATTAAACGAAATTTCCATGATGTGAAATGTCAAATAAGATGACATAGCAACACAGCAAGTTTGATTGTTGTGATATCACTCAATCGGGATGGAATATATTCAGTCATCTGATTTCAGCTGGGGATGGGCGCAACCTTGGGGGTTGCGTCTTCTTTCTGTGATTCAATGAGTTGACTTGTTCAGAGCTTCGCAAAAGTCGCTGCAAAGTACATCCATAGACGTCATGTGTGTTCAACTCTACACAATGCATTAACAATTTTGGAATATGTCAACGAAACGAAATGTGCCATAATTCTTTATGATTCTTTAATTCTTTTGCTATCATAAAGAATTATGGCACTGATAAAGGACCGAAAAAGCACTGATAAAGGACCGAAAGGATATCCATCCTATAAAAAGTAAACTGCTTCACTGTATAAAAAGTTTGATATTGTATCTCTCTTTCTCAACGTTCTAAATAGGGTTACCTAATCATCTGAAGCTCCCTAAATGAATGATTTAAAAAACTAAAATTCATTAGGTTTCAAAAAAATTCCACAAATTCATGATATTTCCAACATATTAGGTTCCATATATCTATTTAAGTTCAAGCATATAAGCCGCTGTATGATCTAACAACCCTTTCGATTATATCCAGATCGAGTGACTAGCATGACCGGGAGTTATATTTCTAGATAAGAATGATTAATGATATAAAATTTTAGAATTATCAGTAGATTTCACCAATCGGCTTATTATTCATATATATTTGGAAATGGAAATTTCGTTTGTAAATTCTAAAAATTTATTATAAATTTCCTAATTTATCACTGGTTGATGATTCTTGGTATTCCAAACAATAATGTCTTTAGGTATAAACAAATGAAACATTCCAAGTTTGTTATGAAAGGCGTCAACATCATGGTTAACTCTCCACTTTCCATACATAGAAGACGTGTACGCCATCGATGAGGCCTGAAGAGGCAACATTTGGGGATGATAAGGAATCTCCCAGCAGAGCTGCACGGCGTATGAGCCATCAGTCAAATCACAATGAGGATTAAAGTAAAAAAATGGGTGCGTCCGGCAGTGCCAAAACAAACGAATGAACCGTATTGGCAGTTCACTTAGTTAAGAAAACTCGATGTCGGACTACGTTCACATCCTAGTCGCATGATTCAGTTGTGAAAAGCTGCGTAGCTCCTATAGACTGACCCTCTTCAACTCTTTGCAAATAATCTGTTGAACTCACGATGGCTGGGAAAAAAAAATTGTTTACGAGTTTGGGTTTCCAACCAAATAATGTTGAATATTCTAATGATGGATTGTACTCTTGGAGTAAGCAGATTAAAAGTTTACTCCTAAGTACATTTCATCAACCACGAGCTTTTAGACACGTTTGCTCGAGCATATAAACCCTTTCTTGGTGATGTTTAAGTCTTTGTTTAGGTCTTGACCTTCTGGGCAGTTTTCAGACATTGTACTCTTGAAGTAAGCAGATTAAAAGTTTCCTCCTAAGTACATTTCATCAACCACGAGCTTTTAGACACGTTTGCTCGAGCATATCAACCCTTTCTTGGTGATATTTAAGTCTTTGTTTAGGTCTTGACCTTCTGGGCAGTTTTCAGACATTTTCCACTTCTTCCTCTTCTTCTTAGATTATGACTGCTCCTCGGAGATCTTGTGATACTATTGCTCATGCACTTGAGCTTAATTAAACTCATCTGATATCCTTCTTTCTCTCTTCGAACAATCTCTACCGCAAAAAGTTAGTCGCTGAGACTGATGCCCGAGTATAAAAGTTCAGAGGTCACAGCCGCGTTGTGCCACCTGCCAACTTGCGCGAGAGATCCGGTCTCAGAGTATCTACTTCGTGAAGGATCATGTGTTTGTGTCTGAACCTCTTCCAAAGGTTTGCTCACTTTCTGAACGAAGGTTCAGAATGGGCTTGTTGCTTGTTTAGTTATAAACTAATTGTGCACACGTGGCACTACGATAGGATAATGTCTACTATATCTCCAGTTACCCCAGATGATATTTCTCTTCAGCCTGGTTCATTAGAAGCACTGAGAATGAATGAATGCAACAAATGTCCACGGGATTCCACAAGATGACTATGGGACCCAGACTAGGAAAGGTCAAAAGTGCATTAGTTTACACCAAATGGAATCCATTGGCCTGAATAAGACGGGATTAATATTTCACGAACCAGCCAAACCGTTCAGTTTGACCGAATCACAGTCATTAGTGATAGGGAGAAATATACAAACATAAGCGCAGTCTAAACTGTTTGATTCTCTATTTTTTTCGCTGCTTTTAAGCAGTTTTCCGTTCTACACACTCTTTTAATCTCCAGGCACGGCTGCCGTGTGTCAATGACTCCAGGCTTGACAACGGTCCGGTTATCCGGTTTAGGAGCCGGATAAAAAGGTGTACCGGTTAACCAGTCCAGAGAAAATTGGGGCCGGTTCAACGGGACCGACGGTAAACCGCCGGTCCGGACCGGATCTGGCCAAGCCTATGAACTACATTACATTAGGGTGACGAATTTTTTGTGGGACCGGTTAACTAGGCTTGGCCACGGTACGGACCGTCGGGACCGGTTAACCGGTCCCAGATTTCTCCGGACCGGGAAAAAAATTCCTCTGGCAGCAGCGAGGTACCCAATTCGTGATTCAATGCGAGGTATCCAATTCGTGATTCAATGTGAGAAAATTCGCGATAAATTTTTTTCACAAATTGGTATAACTCAGCTCGAGTTTCTGAACGTCCAACCGTGGGCTCATTTGAGTCGCGGCCCATATTCCCTCCGCCATCGAGAATTTTGGGTATTAACGCCCCTCCCTATCGGCCACGTAGGGGTCCAGACCGATGGTTAATCGATTAACCGTCGAGACCGGTTAAAAATATCGATTAACCGTAACCGATACGGACCAATGCTGGACCGGTTAACCGGTCCACAAGTTTTCCGGACCGTAGCCAAGCTTACAGTTAACTGGTCCCAATTTTCTCTGGGACCGGTTAAACGGGACCTATGGTTAACCGCGAGTCCGGACCATGGCCAAGCCTAGTTAACCGGTCCCACAAAAATTCGTCACCCTAATGTAATGTAGTTCATAGGCTTGACTCCAAGTAGGGGTTACGGGTCATTATGACAGTGGCCACCAACCTCATGTGTGGTTCTGCCTATTCAGCATATGATCTACAAAGCGAGCCCGTATCCATTGGCTGTGAAGTATAATACGTGGCTGAAAAGAGGGTGGCGCTGAACGACGTCAGTTACCTTGATGTTACAATTAGTCCACGGAATGTAAACGAAAATTCCATAGTACAAGAAATTTGTAACAAGTACCTTCAAATTGACATCAGATAATACAACAAGTTTTAGTTCTACTTACAGAAGTAGTTACAAATATGAACTTCCTCTAAAAATAATTTTCTAGAATCACAAATATGCATTTACATCTGGCCCTACCTCTTCAGTCATTCATAACTTTTGGCAGAGAAAATATACTCTTATTCTCTTTCAGATGATATTCTGTCAATAATGAGCATACGTCTGACGGAGTATATTTTCTTACTTTCTTATATTGGTCCTTTTATTTACAGTACTCTAACAAGCATCAACAGGATTAAACGAGCACCATAAACCATATCATGTAGATTTGGAAACCTTGAAAAAGATGCTATTAACGTCGGCCTGTAACTTTTTGATATCTTGGTTTAGAATCCATATTTAAGTGGGAAGCTGGTTGAAGGATACTGAAATTGTTTAATTTCAATGATATGAGTTTTCGTCTGAAATTTAAACTTTATACTCCAAAAACTATGGAGTGCATAAGAATATTTTCTACTTTTGTGAAAACATAAAGTAAATAAGGAGGTTACTTTCACACACACTGTATCATCATTTTCATAAATTTGTCACTAATGGATTCATATAGTTGAATATCAGTTATCTCTCAAATTCTTTGTGTATAAAATTGGTTTTCAGTTCGCATGTCCTTAAATTCATGAACATCAACAAATATTGTAAACTTAACTTCTTGGATACTTCTATCTAACAGGACAAAAATAGAGTCCAAAAATAGCTCTAAATCCTTATTTGAAAGATATGGCAAACCGGGAACTGACTTCACGCTAATGTTGTAAATGATTGCAAACACTGATCTACAAAATGCAGCCAATGAAAAGAGAAAATCAGAATACAGACTTTTTTGACAGTACTCGGTATCATTTCACCAACTGCTTCAAAAGTAAAATAATCCTTGAGCTAAATCTCAAATTGGTTTCACAAGACCAGACCTCCAAAGATCGGACCAGAAAAGTTAGGATTTTTTTAAAAAAACGGCACTCCTTGTCATTGATGTGTTCAGCTTGCTTGAAAAAGCATCGTTCCGGTAAAAACTCTGACAATTTCAACCAAACCTCCAGCGTCACTAGGCAGGATCAAATTGTTAATATTCCATCCTTACAACCAACAAACCTAAAATACGGTCTCGAGTAATACATGAGTTCACATATTTTTTTTTGGAATTTGCTTTTCTAAAACCTTCCTCCCTTCGAGACTGAAACATGTCGGATCTGGGTGTGTTAATCTTCACAATTACCGAAGGTGTGAGGATACATCCAAAATAGACGATCCAAAATCTCCACAAAGTTTGCATCAGCTTCGGGAAGTGTATAGATGACGGACCACAGTAGCATGGAATTCTTTTTGAGCTTAAGCCTCGGAACCGAACTCAACGTTCAAGTCGCATGGTTGTGTAGACTTGTTTGTAAAAAGTGAGCGCAACAGTAATTCGTGGCATTTGTACCCATCTCTTGACAGCCAATAGACAGAGATCTACGCGATCACAGTTGTGGTAAACATGATTCATGGACTTTAGCCTAAACAAGACAAAGAGTAGCACAACCAATTGTGTGCAACATAGGACTAGAGTCGAACTGACGAACATGACTCCGATGTAATCATGGGCTTTAGCTTTTCGCCTCCAATCCTGAACCTGGCAACGGGTAGAAACGAAGATGATAACGAGGTAAGCTTCGAGTTGAGCGCTTGCCTACGGTTCTGGTTGATCTGGTGTCATAAACATAACTATGTTGAGTTTATATTTCAGAAGACTTGTCAGTCAGAAGATACGTCTGAGGCGCAACTGTGACGAAAAAAGTCACTTTCACAGAGGTTAATGTTTCATCGAATGTTTACTTATTTCATTTCTAAAGAGACTTCAATTAGTTCTGAAGCTAGAAAGCCTCATTCATAATATGTTGCTTATTTTGAATGAGTTGCTTTCTAGCAGAGGATTTTATTTTCGAAGCCTTCTTCGTGATTTGAGGCAACTGTCTAGAGAATAATGTCCGAACAAGGAGCCTATTATCGAGTCCCACGCGATTCGGCACCCTACACGCGTTCGGCATTATAAGTATAAGGGAAACACTAGAGCTTGATAGACGCAAGGTTTACTGGTACTCAGTTGGATTTGCCTGAAATGTAGAAAGCTTTGCACGCATAAAAATATAGCGTCACATATTGGGCCACCTTTGATGCTTTACAGATATATACATCAGACTGTGGCATGTTGGTGGTCGAGAGAAAACTAAGCTCATGCAATTAGTGGGGGTTTGTTATCTGCAATCGATCTTCTGTCTTGAACATCGGGTCTATCAACTCCTTTCTGGAAGATATTCAGTGTATTATAGCAAGAAAAATGACCGTCCGGCCTCAAGACAACAGGCCCCACAACTTCTGACACAACCTGCTTCAGTTCCTTCTCTAGATCTTTCAAGCTGGAAGCTCGCTTCTCCTTCATCATTTCTTCTATGTCAACATTCGAATTCGGAGGGGGGAATTCCACTCCGACTCGCCGTTTGTACTCTGCACCCATATGCTTTGATATGACATGGTCGTTGAACTTGAAGAATGTGTTTTGATCGGGACAGGAAGTGAAAACCAGGACAACGTTCTGCTCGACCTTGTGACCTTTGAACAATCTTTTGAAATGGTTCAAGCAGATTTCATCTGCTCCCGTGTACTTGGACGCCTTCTTCACGTAGCAGATGACGTCGATTTCAGGGCACTCTGTCAAGAGAAAATCGTGCAGCTTGTCAATCAGATGCGCGTCCGAGGTGCGATTACCTGGCGAAAACAGACCCACCGTGTCGATCACTTCCCACTGCTTGTTTTCACTGCACCGTTTGGACATACTGGACGTCGGGACTGCGGATTGGCAGTCCCTTCTATCGAACAATCCTTCCACTCGGCCGTCGAGTAGCATGTTCCCAATTGTTGACTTGCCATCTCCAGCCTTTCCATAGAGCAGCAATTTGATCGGTTTGGTGCCAGTGTCTTCTCTTCGGGGCGTGAAGTGGTCGTGTACAGCATACTGGACTTGTAGAAATTCCGACTGATTGTATGAAGATGATGTCCCAGAAGAGCCCGATGAAGTGCTGGCTTCTCCCATGGGGTCGAAATTGCTGGAAGAAGAAGGAATTGGCTATAGGCCTTCAGCAGCCATGCTTTTAACATTCACTAAGCTCGTTCAGTGCCTCTTCCGTCTAGCCACTCTAACCTTGTCCTGATGAGATCGCTGATGGTGGTGCCTGAATTCACAAGAATTTCTGGCACTTTATTCAAGGGCTTGCAAACACAAAATGGAAATTGGAAGGCTCTTATTTCTGCAACAAGTAACGGAGAGCTGACTTCGATTAAATCTAGAATAATCCTCCAGAAAACGAGGATCATAACTCGATTGCTGACGGTGGCTTGTGGCAGACACGTGCTATCCATACTGAATTCGAAGTCGCGAGCATGAGGAATCTAGTCCATCTGCTGAGATGAAAGTCTGTCTAATTTATCCCCGAAAGTGGCTACACATTGATTTTGACAAGAGATGGACTCATGCAAGACGTATGAAAGGCTGCTTTGGAAGAAATTGATCGCCAGAATGATCACTGTCTGAAGCATGACTTGAACCCTAAATTCCTGAAATTCGTCGAGAAGCTCATCAAGTGCTCATACGTCTCTACGCCCCACGCAGACCTTGTCAACGAGAGTCCAACATTCGCGGTGTCGAAAAGTTTTGTCCACTTGAGAACGGCACTTTATATTCTCGATAAAAATGCGCATCCTCGCTATCCTTTGCTAAGAGTGTCCGAGTCAGTTCGCAAAAGTACATGGATGAAGCTTCTTCTTCTGTTTCGGACCCTATCACAGTTTCAGATGCATCAGATTGACCGCTCGAGAAGTTTCCATCAATCGCACCGAAGGCAAACACCCACGATCTCGTAATGTCAACAATCGAAACTGCAACGGACAAATTCTGCACTGTGTACAGGTCGTTATCCTCAGTACAAGATAAACTGGAATTCTATTCCAGCTGGATTGACGACATCACGAAAGATGCTTTCCATTTTGGCTCAAACGAATCTGGATTCATCTTATATTTTGTCTTTTCCTCATAGACACTGTCATGTAGTCTACTCCAGAATTAGGGAACGCCATCCATTCGCAGTCCATCAAGTCCACGGCACATGCCGCTGAGGATGTACACGTGATGTCAAGATATTTTCCAGCTAAACCGGAGAGTGATGCAATATATCTCTCTGATCATAGATCTTTCAGCTTTAACTAAGAATGATCTTAGTCTAAGCTGAAATCTCTGTAGTCCTGCAAATGTATATATTCTACTTCTTGTTGCCAGTAATGTACGGTACACAATGATATTAAGAAATGGACTTTTTTGGAACGTGATTCAACTATGAAGAGGGCGACTTCCACTTCCAGAGATGAGTCTGGCTCAACTTCAAGTTTACAATATATTTGAGTCTCCTTGGAAGCTCATTGGCTCGAAATCTGTGAAGTCCCTCAGGTTTCGAATGAAGACTACAACTCAGTAGTCCTCCCAGAGCTCCGTGTCATGAGAAAATAGAATTTCCGACATATTACGAACGAAATGACGAAATAGCGGAATCACTTGATTGTGAAGATCTCCTATCTTTGTCTGAAAGTCAATTTTGATCCACAGTTCTCTTTCAGTTTCCCCAGTGAGATCGGATAACTCAAATAGGATAATGAAGACAAGCACAGTCGATCAGAGAACTGTTACTTGGACAGCGACTGAAAACGACAAGGTTTCACCTCCGCAGCAATTTTCCTTCCCGGACACGGATGTACCATAGAGCTCGAAGCGTCTGTGGCGTCATAGATTCGACCCTTCGAAAAGAATGATGACGTTCAAAAAGATCGATGATGATGGTGATGAGTTGCAAAACCACGCGCTGGCATGCGCGGAACCCAAGTTACAAGTTTCTATTCTTCCAAAGATGCTGTTTCCTCTGTCGCACTGTGTGGAGCTGTTATGAATTTCAGCCATGATGCATCGACTGAGACAGGTACTTCGTCATGCACCTGATATTTTGTAGACAAAAAGTAGTGAAGGACCACCTGATCGTCAAGTGGTCCTTCAAAGCATTTTCTTCACAGCACTAAAGGCCAGTGCTGTGAAGAAAATGCTGATTTTACAAAGCATGAATGGAGAAGATGATTGCTGCAACTTTCAGTTAACTTCTCTTTCAGGTGAGGAAGAAACCTCTTTTCATTATTTTCGAGAAAGGAGTTCCTCGCATCATAGCAGCTCACTTCTGCAGCTTCACATCCAAATGAATCACAGCATTCCTCTTCTGCTCGTCCTGTAAGTCAGTTTTTTTGTTGAACTTCGCCTTTTACTCTGCTGTGGCTGTAAAGTATAACCAAGCTTAGATTCGAAGTTTGATAAAACTCGACCAGCAGCGAAGGTGTAGGCTCAGATGCAATACAAGCAACATCTTCCACATTTGCTTGATCTCACTTGAATCAAATCAGGACTTTGAAGACGATGTCCCGCTCTCGGTAAACACATATCTTGATCTCCAGTGTGCCACTTTGATTCTCGCTTCCGAAGATTTTCTGAACAGTATTTTATGAGCGTCATCCAGTTGAGATTATGGGCAAAGTTGGCCTTTTAATGTAAATGCAGTGAAAAGTGACTACCATGCATAAGCTACTAATCTCTGCATTCTGGTACCGCTGTGCATTTAAAGTTTCTTACACGACTCCAAGTTGACATATTGTCTTGAATTTCAGAAGTGAAGGATCTGATTTTGGACACATTGTAGTCTTATGTGAGAGATCATCGCAACAACGTTCTCAAGCTTCATCCTTGGCAGGGTTTCCCCGATGTTGATTAGCTTCGAACAACTGATTCGAATCTTACTTCGTGAGTTAGCTCATGGAGTCGGATTGGCAGGTGAAGCCTTTCAAGCTCACAGTTCTGCATTCCTCCAGTCTCTCTTCCAGCATACAACAGCAGTTTTGGTTGGTCAGAGGAACGTCTGCTAATTTACCTTTTCTCGTCTGCTCTGAAGAACCATGTTAGGGTCATCACATGAGGTGGATTATACATCCACATTATTCTTGAGTAAGTTTACCGATACGGTGCACCAAGAAAGGAAGTTTCCACGTATATATGCTTTTAAGAGTCATTTCAAGGCCTCCAACATACCTCATCGTTACCTGATTAAAAAAAAATTCTTTCATGTTGCAAGTGCCTTAAACCTACATTAGGATGCCCTCTCACCAATAACATTACAGTTTGATGAGAGATGAGAATCCGAAGAGCCACTCTCTGGTGCACACAAACCCATGGATTAATCACTTCCTGCAGATCACTAATTATCTTAGCAGAAAGGGGTCCCATTGGTTTCGAAAATGTCACAGATCAGAGTTCCAACTGCAAGTTTCCCACCTCCAAAGTCTGCAATAGGAAATACTTTACAAGGAAGAGCTGCAAGTTCAACAACACATTCGCAGTTCGATCGGAATTGGCTGTTTGAATCCTTATTGGAGGGTTCTGAATGGACGACGATGTCTGCGAGAAATTATATTCTCAAAATAGTCATCAGAGAAAGGGGTTTCAAATCGAACAGCCAAAGCGTTGTCATCATATTATTGTGAAAACCAAGAGGCAGAGCTCTACCACCACAAGTAGTAGCTGCTCAGTCTGATCAATCTGACTGAAGTTTGACGATTCTGCAATGAAGTATCCTCAAATGCACATGTTATACCCAAGAACTTGAATAGATCAGGTGGTCAAAGTAGGACATGACTAAAAAAATAAATATTTGCTAAACTTTGAAACTGTCATGCTACTAAATTTAATAACAGAGGTCTCCTCTCAATTAGAACATCCTGCAAATCAGTAAATATTTAACTGCCAGATTGAGATTATGGGCCCGTAATTGCATATATACAATCCAATTGCAACTAATAGCAGGATATGCCCTAATACAGCAGAGTACACAGCGCAATAAATCTTTCTGGACAAAGACTTCCGAACAAATCCCACAAATAGTTCAGGTCCATTTCCGTCTGGATCCTTGGTTGGGGTAATCTCTTCCTTCTGGTACCTTAATAACAACAATTATCGACAGTTCTTGTATGACAGTCAAGTAAGTGTCAGTAGATTGAATAAGAGTCTCTGTATACTATCCTTTCCTCCCTTGAGTGTACATGAGTATATGTTTATATACTCGCTGACATAGACATATACCCGACTCCATTTCGCAAATCTAGATGCACACTCTCCCACATGATTTGCTTAAGATGTAACATTAGTTTATTAAGTTGGACCCTGAAGGCAAACATACACCACACAAGTTGCAATGATCAGTAAGTGAGAATGCATTTCCAAATCACCAGACTTCAGCTAAAATGGAAGGCGACCAGACTGTAGTGGTTATGGTAATGGTAAATAGATCAAGCCCGTGGGAACCAAAGGGTCAAAAGACTAAAAAACACAAAACAAACAATCCAACTCCAAACAAGGAGAGAACCAAAAGAACCCCATACCTAATGTCCAAAGCACTAGAACGGTAACAAATAACATCCCTAATGTAACAACCTAAATCATAAGTCTCAATCTGAAGCAAAGAATAAAAATTCTCAACAACAACTTTATGAGCCACTCTAATCTCTACGTATCTAGTACAAGTAAGAAATACATGCTCTTCATTTTCTGCTCCACATAATGCTGAGAAATTCCTCCTTAATACGCTCGCGTAGGGTTGTAGGGTACGCAATAGGTTGCAAATCCCAATCGAGTTCCGTCACATTCCACCTCAAAGACCAAGTCACCACATCTGCAAACCATCCTTTGGGACGTGTGGCACTCAAAGCTTCAAGAGGAAGTCGAGAAGCATCAAGATATATCACTCTTTTGACGTAAGTGATAGTCAAAAAGAGAGCTTCAGCCTCAAGAGATAGACAACCTGTTTCCGCAAGAAGAATTGCATAAGAAGTTTGGATCCTCACACCCAATTCTTCTTGTAAGAAAATCTTTTGCACCCTCTCCAAACGCTGCCAACCCGTCTTCTTACAACCAGGACCCCATACTTGTGTTCCATATAAGATAACGGGAAACATTAAGCTCATGAATAAGAATTTCCTAAGACTCCAAGACACTAGATGAGCTCCTCTACATCTATTTAGCAATGAATATAAAGCTTTGAAACCAGTTTCTACCCTCTTTTGCACACAAAGTGCCCAACTATAATCAGATGAGAAATCAATGCCCAAATATTTCTAACTTTTCACTTGTTCCAACTCTATTATGATAGCCTCGAGTGGATAGATACAGCAGCCAAAATTTTTTTTGCTGCTAATCCACGGTTGCATTAGCAGCATGACAGTTTTAAAGCGGCTGACTTATGTAATTGACTGATTATTTTATTAGTATGCTACTTATTAATCATTTAGAGTTTTGATATGTCCTTTGAAATTCGTCAACCTACTGCCCTCTTGTAACCCGTATCAGTGTCTATTTCAAAACACAGGTAGAAATTTAAGACCTTGTGGCAAGGATTCACAAAAGCTCTTCTTTTAATTATGATCCACCCGAGCTGACTATTGGCACTATTTTACTGTCATTGACATTCTCATGGTGAGATCAAAGCTGAATAACAATAGGGATCAATAATATCTATGAACTTTATAGATGATTAGAATCCAAAGTCGTGCTACAGGAATTAACAAAATATTATTATTATAAAATGTTTAATTTAATCATATTCCAAGAATGTCAATTGTAAATTACAGAGATAGGTTTGGATCAAGATGTAGATTAGAAAGTATGCTTAATTTTATCAAGAAAACTGAAAAATGTTGCAATTATTATAATATTTCAATTTTAATTATGAGTAAGGTTAATGAGTTAAGATTTTATATTATTTTAAATAACATTTTTTCATATAATATTTACAAAATTTAAAATATTTTAACATCTGCTTAATAAATTTTTTTATCAATAATGATCAATCATGTAAAATATAATTTAATTGATTTATCAAAATCTAAACATTTTGATGTAATCAAATTTACATTTTTAGTATTAGATTTCTACAGATTTGAAAAATCATAAAAATAATTGTGATAAAAAAAGTACAAATTGTCTTCATAGGTCACCAAGTTTGTTTAGTTCAATCTCATATGATATAGATCTAGCTTCATAGTCCATCGTCAAAACTATGAACTGCTCATCAAACTCTTTAACTATATCAAAAACATATTGGAGATAGTTTAGATTAAGGAGTAAACTCACGTTCTAGCTAAAAATAGCTAGTAGAACCGTAGATGCTGGGGTTCTTATACCCAAGAGTTTGTGTGATACAAAACACTTTTTTATATGACACTCGCACGTGAACTTTCAGATGGACGTAGCTCTCTTGAGAATCAACCATGTTATACGTTGGTGGCTTGACTTGAATGTTTCACTATGTTTCTGGGTTTTACGTTAACATTTGGTATTAGAGTTGGTTTGTTCAGAGTTTGTGACAATGGTTATTCTTTGCGTTTATATCAAAGTTTATGATAATTTTTGTTCGACACGAGGTGACGAAGTTCTTAGTTCTAGTCATTTTGTTGAATTTAACTTTTTGACAATAAGTTTTATCGAAGACACGCTGATAGTAAGAGGTTTCGAGTTGGTAATTATTTACTTGCTTTCACAGGTCCCGAGAGCTAACGGTTTGTGACACTGAAATTGTTCGGTTAAAACTGATAGTTTAATCTTTTGTTCTAAACTTAGAGTGGTTTCCAACCTTGAAAGATTTTGAAATTCACAATTTTTGAAATTTCTGACTTCGAGCTGTCTCAAAGTCACTGAGTTCTTGTTCTTATTGTGTAGATTGTCAAGAGACAAACAAGATTGAAGTTCATGTAGGCATGTGATTGCAATAAATGCAGATTACGTTGGGGAGTATGGATGATATGTAGGGCTCTTGAAAAATAGCCTCTTGTGAAAATTTCCTCACTTGCACTAACTTCAGGAAATTTTTTTGCGGCACTGTTGTGGTAACGTAGTTTTTCATATTTTTTTTGAAACGAAAAGTTTGAGAGATAGAAGACTAGTAATTTCAAACTTTTAGTATAAGAATACTACGAAGTAGAGTAAATAGTGGATTCGGTAGTAGATGACAAGTTAGAAGTAGTGAAATCCATTTAGCTTACTCTCTATGAAGTTAGTGTTTTTTTTACTTGTAGGCAGTAAAGTTGAATTAGATATTTTATGATGTGATAGAGTAAATACCTCATAACATTTTTAATTAGTAACGACTTGATTTAGTTAGGGTTTTGATATATAGAGCTTGGCATGTTTTTTCTAACGAGTCCAAGAACTCTTGAAACGGATAAAAAATCACTGAGTTATGAGTGTAAGAGTGGCTGGTATGGATAGGCGAAGACACAGAAGAGTCTGCGGCCGAAGAGCCTTCGGACTTTGGAGAAGGAACTTCGGCCGTAACGCCTTTGGCGGTAGCGTCTTCGGCCTTTGGCCTTGGAGCATGGATCAAAAACAACTGTTGCGGACGACTGCAACGGTTAGTTGTGGACGACAAGGTAATCGCAGACACAATTAGTCGAAGGTCACGATTACGAGTAGTCACGGTTGAAAGTGCAAACGACACGTGGCGGGCAAAGTAGGCACGTTTGTTAGGCCGTCAAGAAATCTCCGTCGAAAACATCATGTACGTCAAACAATTCCGTCTGTGAGAAAGAAGATTTAGTACGTCAAAAAGATTACATCTATCACAGAAAATATTTCGTTTGTAAATATTATATCCACAAAAATCTTCGTCGGAATATAGGCAAATTGAATATAGTTGGAAAGCTCTCAAAACGACTAATGCATCTGTAACATTTTCAAGAGTTGAAAGATGATTTAGAAGGAAGAAATTGTTAATTAAGTTGTTTTTTAAATTTAGATCTTCAGACGGCTGACATGACAACACGACAAGTCAGAGTATATAGACCAAGGAGAATAATTTTCTAGGTGATGGTATAGTGCTTATGGCGTACAAGCTATGGAATCTAGTAGCGTGTAAGATTCTTGTCAATACGGATATTACTTTTAATGAGATCTAGATCATTGAAAGAGCTGAAGAGTTTTCATGCTCTCTGTACTGACAAGGAAATCTCCACTCACGTATATGATTGTGAGAGAGTTTAATCATTATGTCATTAATGATCAATAAAGAACTTTGCTATTGGTAAGGATTCTAAGCACAAAATTGAGTTGATCAAGATTGATTATAAACTCTGATGATTGAGCTACTCAAGATTGACAGTAAATCTTGATGATTTAGCTAATCAAGATTGACGCTAAACTCAATCTAACTAATGTGTTGGCTAAAGTTATCACTTTAAAAAGTTTTAGGCGACATTGTGCTTCTATGCAGGTTGTGCATGGAAGCATATGTAGAGTTTGCTAGCATGGTATCTTCAATTATCTTTTTATATAATTACTCTATCGTGTGATGATTACAATTTAGTTTTAATTCATTCTCATGTAAAGAAATAACTTATATTAGAAATCTTTTTAGAACTTCATGCAAAATAACTATATAGGTTACGAGGTTTCTGTTTCCTCTGTGTTAGCAAGTTTTAATTATCTTTTTATATTATTATTTTATGATGTTATGATTGCGACTTAGTTCTAGTTAACTCTTGTGTAATATTACGACATTGTGTTAGGTTTATGTCTAAAACTTTCCATATAGTAATAATGTAAATCATAGAAGTTATTGTTTCATTTACACGAATTAAAAGGTAGATTGTTGAAGTTAATTACAGTTAAGAATTAATCTCAAGTTTCAGATAAACATAGTTAGAAGCATCCCCTGTGCCGGGATATTTATACTCTAGGATTAGTGTATTACTGAACACTTCTCTTTGTAACTCTTGTGTGTGAGCTTCTTGGTGGACATATACCTCTTGATAATGAATGTGTCACGTGTTGATGGTTTGATTTGAATGTTTTATTGTATTTTTCAATTTTACGTTAATAAAACAGTAGATATTAAATTTTAATTCATATAAAATTATATTTCAAAGTAGAAAATTTTGAAAAAATTTCTTTTAATGTCTTGAAGATTATAATATCTTAGAATCTTACAAATTTTTTATGATTAAGAAATATTCAGAATATGCTTAGAATATGTATTATTTCTATTTTAAATGAAGAAATTTATTGTAAATCTCATAATTTATAGATCAATGCCATATTAATATTATGTTAACTTTTTAATCTTCAACTTATTAATTCAATAGTTTAACTTTCATGGATACCTGAACAAAATACCAGATTTTACTTTATCGATTGAGGAAAAGTAGCTCAAAAGCGTCTTCTTCTTTATATTCATTTATGTTTCATCTGTCATATCGTCCCGGTAATTTGACACTGCAGAAACGTTGGTTACAAACAAGAATTGTTTCTGAAATGAATTATTTTTTGATAATTTATTTTCATCAAAGTAAGAATTCTTCTTGAAAATAGGCTGAAGGCATAAATATTGAAACTTTGTTGATCACCTTCCACTATATAAATCTTGAATAATTGGATCAACCGAAATAAGTAGTGGTTACTTGGTTGTAAAACGACAGAGGCTTCCTGGTGGCTCATGAATCGGTGTGGGTGATTCGATAAGCAGTCTTTTACGAATCTCTCCCTGCCTGAATAATGGAAATTCCGAAATTTTGCGTGGAAACCTTATCCATTTATTGAGGACTGAGCATAAAATTTCACGCTTTACATATAAGAGAATAGTTACAATCAAGTGCTCTTGAAGACCGATTGCAGAGGCAATTCTGAATCTTTTGGACATTTACTGATTTTGACAGCTCAGAGAGACCACAGCCATCCTCTAGCCTTGGCAAAAACTAACACTACTCCTACGGGCCTATGGAGGTTGCGCTAACTTCTGCCTGGAGGGAATTTGCAGCTCTATCTGACTTGAATGATGTTTAGATATGGTATAGTTCACATACAGAATTTCAATATGAAACTCTTTTCTAGATCTACTTCTTGGAAACAATTAAGGAAAGAATAATGTTAAATTCAAATTAAACTATTTGTCCTAGACCTTGTCGGCGTAATTTTCTTTCATCGCTTGTTGCTTCCTCTTGATGAGAATCGAACAAACTTGGACTCCTTCAGAGACAGAGAGGAAGAACCACTCTTGACCTAGAAGGTCCACAAAACCTCCATCTTTGAAGGTCGTAATCACCTTTCCGACAGTATTCGAGATCGTCAACTGCATACATTTCCATCCAATACATGCACGAGTTTGTCAAACTTTAACCTCTTTCATGCAGCATGTGCAGAGACTGCATGAGCTAATAAGAGAAGCTCAACAGAGTTTCAAGCTTGTTTTCGACTTCTTGTTGCTTCTAATCAATCTGTAAGACTGTGTTGTGAGTCATGACTCCTAGTTTTTGTGATTTCTGAATTTATCAGAGGACGTCAAAAGCAGAATCTGACCTGGATTCCCCTTGCTTGAAGGTTTGTGTTGAGTTCCTCGAAAGCATGAATAGCCGCAGTATCAATGCTCATCACGGCTGCATCACATAATCATACTATTAAATACCAGGTCATGTAAACAAACGTTTGTCTAAATCTTAAACTTGCGATCTGAATCGACTTTGAATCGTGCATTAGATATGTATCCGAAGTTCAAACTCAAAGAGCTCCAGTTGTGATAGCATTGACTTACGAGCCATCTCCAAGATAACAAACTGAAGAGGAATTCCTCCATTCACTGCTAGCTCATCTTCAGCGTCGTTCACATATCGCAAGATTCTGCAGTGAGCTTAAACTCGTCACGCACCGGGAAATGTATAAAGTTATAAAAACATAATGCTCGATGCAGATTAGATAAAAATAAAGAGAAATTCGGGTTCGATGACGTTGTACATACCTCTCGCGAACATAATTTGAGTTGGAAAAGTAGATGGCAGCGTCGATACGTACGATCACAATTCCAGGTTCATTACTTGCTAATGGGTACTGCTTGATGTCATGGTACATGCTGGTACCAGGTATGTTACCTAGGAGAGCTGTATGTGGCCTTGTCACATGAATAAGGATCTTAGAGAAAGAGATGATAACCTGCAAAAAAATTTCCTCATATTATTGTGAGTCTGATAGCTGCACGTCCAAACCAATGTATAAAAGCACAAAGTGAAATCTTCATCTATGAACTTCGAGAATTGTGTACAGCTTAAAACGATTCTTTCTCTTCAGTCTCAAGGCCCGCTAAAATAACATTGCGTCTCAGGGAAAGCTAAAATCAGTAACCACGAATCGAAGGAGTCCAAAAATAACTATAGTTTCTGGCCAGAATTCCGTGGATGGAAAGATGGAGGCTAAGAACAACTAGGAGTTGACTTCTTCAGTTCACGATACTTACAGCAACAAGAAGACCAATCTCAATGGAGACGAACATGACACCAAAAAGCGCTCCAGCCAACACTAGGAAATCGATCTTGTCAGTCTTCCAGACTAGGTACATGGCCCTCAAGTCCACCAAACCGACGACAGCGTTCATAATGATAGCAGCGAGGACACATTCTGGAGTGTAGTGAAATAATGGAGTCAAAAACAAAAGGGTGAAAAGCACCGCAATTGCCATAACGACGTTCGACATCGCTGTGAAACAGCCAGACTGATAGTTGACAGCTGATCGAGAGAAGGAACCTGGATACAACATTGACAAGGGTGTATATGAACGTGAATACTTGCTTCCCGAGAATTGATTGTCAAAATCTGTTCTTGCAGATTATCTATAATTGTTGAAGGAACTCTATGTCATTATGGACATCATTTCACACCTGTTGCCACATAACAAGAAGTCCATGATCCTGCAATGTTCATGGTCCCGATGGCAATCATCTCCTTGTTTCCGTCGATGTGGTAAGCTTTCAAAGCTGCGAATGTTCTTCCGATAGCAACTGCTTCCTACAAACAAAGATTCCATTGCAAGTGATAATGTGAGTCAATAGGTGTGACTTGATAGGAAAACTTGGAGCTCATGTGATTCATAACATGAGCATCATCGCAAGCAAGTTTAAACGATTCCGCTCAGCAATTTCACACTCAAGTGAGTGCTATCAAGCGCAGAGGATCGACTGCGGGTGTAAGGTCCGACAAGAATCCTCTATATTGGTGAAACGGATTTTCAGCCGCTGTAGCTTATGATGAGAACTTACCGTGAGAGCAACGAGACCGGAGACCACACCAACTTTGAATCCCCTTGCGACTAGAGGTCCAGTCCAGTAAATATCACTGAAAGAAGCAGGATTAACTCCCTTTTCAATATATCCGATTACTTTGATACCCTTCCTGTCGAGACGAGTCACAAAAACAAATAGGGTGCTGACAATCACGCATCCCAAAGGTGCCACAGCTGAGCACCAGAAGAACCTTTTCCTCATCTGTGACTGTTTGGAGGGCAAAAGCACAATATCAGATCTTTATCATGCTGTTAATACTGCATTTTAAGAGCTGGAAAAATCACCCACATTCTCTTCCATTTACAACCACACCACACATAGCCTCAAATCAGTCCAGAAGAAGTGCCATATATTTAGTTTGGCCCCGGAGAACAGTGAAGACATTAAGAAAAGGTTACGTTTAGTGAACTTACGAATCGTCTTGTAGCCACGAGCAATATCAAAAAGAAAAACCCTAGGCCAATTGTTGGCCAGTTCCACTGCAACAAAAGCTCGTCGTCAGTCCACATTACGAGCTAGGATGTGAAACATTGCCGTAAGAAATTGCAGTTTCTTTATATGAATGGGAGTGGATATTACAATATCATGCATTTTGCACTCAGAAAATTACAGCACAAGTGCAAGGAATTCAAAGAATTTCCATCAGAGCTGGCTGAATCAATGTATCACCTCGCCAGTGTGAGTCCAGACTGATCTCATGACCGAGACGATGTCAGAACTGGTTGTGAACTTTGTTATTCCTAAAAGCCCTTTTAACTGTTGAAGAGCGATAGTCACTGCAGCTCCAGACATGAAACCAACGATTGCTGCATGTGAAAGAAAGTCGACGAGGAACCCGAGCCTGCGTAAGACAAAGAACATCATCTTTCAAACATGTACAGCGTATCTCAAGCAGCATTTCAACAAAGCAGACAGGAATTTTCGGTTCATAGAGCATCAAAGTCCATGACCATCATCGACTATTCACAAACCTGAGGATTCCAAGTGACGCTTGCACGACTCCAGCAAAAAAGGTTGCAGTGAATGCAAGGCGCAAGTAGCCCGCTCTATCCTCGTGCGGGTCGATCTCATTCTTGAGCAATTGACCCATAATAATGGATATAACCGCGACAGGCCCGATGGTAATGTCGCGCGAACTCCCCAGCAAGGCATAGATTAAAGGTGGAACGAAACTCGCGTCTGTTTCCCACAAAACCGCTCAGTCAGCTCAAAGCTCTAGATCTCTCGTTCTCGAGGATCAAAAAGCACCAAAAACAATGACGTTTACTCCATTGCTACGTAATACAGTTCCTGCTACCTCCGCTGCTCGTTTCCAATCGAAGGTTTGTAGTTTTAGAACTTACATAGACCGTGAATTGGGTCCATGTTTGCCAACTTCGCATACCCCAGATCCTGCATAGAGCTCGTGCACGGGTTTTAAGGTTAGCTGTCAAATAGAATGCCATTTTGGGAGTTTTGAAAATTTGGCTGACTCTGTGATGACGAAGGCACATTTGCCGATGAATTGGGGGAGAGATTTTGAGCCGCAGTACCTGAGGGATAGCGAGACTTGCAGTGGTGAGTCCGGCAATGAGGTCACCTTTGAGCATTCTCTTATCGTACTTGGGAAGCCAGTCGAGAATGGGGAAGATGTACATGAGACCGACGAACCATCTCTGCTTCCCCTTGTAGCCCCTGAACTGGCGGAAGGGATCGTCCGCAAAGAATGTCTCCATAATTCCCTCTTTCATCTGGGCCCAGAAGGTCGACGATGGAGGAAGTGCTACGGAGTGAACCATCTGCCGGACCTCGCTCCCCATGCTCGTCCCAATGCTCGGGGCGGGCGTGGCCCCTCGGGAGCTCATGTCATCAGACTGGAACCGGAGCTTCCGACCTTGCGCAGTCTCGTCTTCAGTCCCGATTCTACTCCCATAGCTCATTTCAAGAGATGTCTGCCAGGAACACGAAAACTCCCTCTCGATTCGTTAGAATTGATTATCTTTCACAAACAGCACAACTCTTGCACAGATCCACCAGCCTGCATTTCTTACAGATGAGCCATCACTCTTCCTCAAATCTCTCCCTTCATAAGCTTCGAGCTTTTGATTTCAATGAACCTGTTCAGATGGACTTTACCTTATTATTGCTGACAGATCTCGAGTTAGAGCTCGAGCATGACGATGGGGTTTAAATTCAAGCTCGCGGCTCGTGACTAAGTTTGAGCGAGCTGTAATGCCTTTCCTTTACGCGAGCCAGCAATACGAGCTAGCTCATAAAGGCTCTAGTAAGGCTTCGCTTTACTCCGGGGCGAGGCATCTTCTACTGAGAGTGATGGGCCCAGTGTGCTTCTCGCAGTCCAGAGCTAGCTCCACTTGCAGCACCTGTTGATCCAAACCAGGAACTTCGGACACCCATGATCCAGATTCTCATGTGCAAGGTGCATGCACCGTATGCGTGCGTTAGCAGGACGTGTCCTGTCGTTCTCAGACTGTGTATCGTTGCGGTCTGCAGCCGCATGCTCCTCGATTCAAGGAGTTGACTTGCAGTTGCACAAGCTTGCGACTGTGGGATGATTGATTATAAAAGTGCATGGACGCTTGTGTCTGAGCAGGTAGCGCACGAAGCTCGGACGAGCTCACGGATCATCCCTGTCGATTGGATCGCCCTGCCGATCGCCTCGGATTCGGAGGATATAAGTGGTGGAGTTATATGCTTTCGGGCATGTGCTGTTGCTGTTCCTGCTGGATGGCCCGATTTGTTTATCATTTAGCTCCTGTATCATCCGCTAATGCGAACAAACTTCTTCGTAGAGCCTTTGTTTCAGTCGTTGTCGGATCGAGAGACGCGAAATGCGAAGCCCGTTTCGACTGCAGTTTGGCCGGCCGCCTGGGTGGTGGGATGCTTTCGTCACTTGTGCCTGAAAAGCGCTGAGCGCAGATATTGAAGGAACTCGCGCAGAATGCAGAGATCCTTTTGTGCGTAATCGTTGTCGACAGTACTTCTGAGGGAATGTAGAAAACTGGTGCCCATTGGATAACTTCCAGATTCCCAGCGGCGGAATGAATGCCGTAGGTACAGAACTGCTCAATGAGAAGGACATCATGAATATGCACTCCACCTTCCCTGCGATTTAAAAACTTGATCCGCAACCTTTTCAGAGGAATTGCGTTCGTCAATGTCGTGCTCAAAGATGTCATCAATCGTACAAAATTTTATCTGCTTTCCTTCATTCAAAACACACTCTTGAGCCATTTTTCTTATGCAAATGAACGCTCCTAGATTGACGACTGAGACATTCAAGCATGCCAACTTCCCAATTCGTCTATCGATGTAATGCATTCGTCATACACTTCCCAATTTCAGAGCCCACAGAAGTCGAGGCTGCAGACGCAGACCAAAATGGTCACGGTTGCAATCATTATCTTTATTCATCTGGTATTGGCCACAGATTGAACGTACATAAAATGTATTGAATACTATACCGAGGGAAGTTATCTAAGATACCCCATGAGAAAACATAAGTTTGCATTCAACAATTCCATGCGAATTGACCAGCGAGATATCCGGAGATTAATCTTTGTTCATCTGTCCCTGGAATATAAAAGATCTGATCGGAAATTTCAAGATAATATTTCTGACCTACCTATCCTTCAGAATTGCATGAGCAGATGAACGACCAAAGAATTGTTTCGACCTAGTTTTGAATTAAAGCATGATCTGATACCTCGCTTATGTCTGCAATGAAACTACGCCCAGTCTGTACGTTCTGGCACTCCTGGCACCATTGACATCCAAACATTTAGATTCTGTCCTCCTGCTTTGACGCATTGATCAACTACAAAAATCAACTTTTGACGAGCGTTGAATGATTGCGAGACCTTTTGTTACAAATATAGGAATTGACATCTGGAAGTCGAAAAGTGATCTGGTAGACTTACATCACCTTGTAATGATGACTTCACTCTTTCGATCCAAGTCAACTCTGTACATACAATGCTTTGCAGACTCCCGTTGTCTTTTGGATTGTTTTGCTTCAAGTGCCATTAAAACTTCAAGTCCTCTTATCAAAGTTCATTTTTGCCCGAATATTGATTTCAATACAAGGATTGATATCCCTGTATTTAAATCATAAAGCTATTCCGTCTTCTGAGTTGCTCTCGACTACTACGTGCAAATCACGAGGATTAAGAGGATGACGATCTGTCAAACGCTTACAAATAACATTACCAGGCGTACTGGGTTCCTTTCGTCAGATTACCATGCTTGTTTCAAAAGCAGCCGTGCATGTGCAACAGCGTGGACTGAACAATCTGATCGACCTGGCACGATGTAGCTTCCTAGAAACTCTAGGTTCGAGATTCCTCAAACATGATCGCCGTAGCATCTGCAGCTAAGTCTCATACATTGGACACTTGGAGATTCAATCCTGGAAATCCGACACGTAATGAAATGTACTCGGCCTTTTTATTAAATTTAAGTGCCATTTTCCTCTGGCAAAGAGAAACACTGCATCTGCATGCAATGCGATGTATAGCCCAAAACACGTTTCAAACTAGAGTGACTTTATTTTGTGGGCCCATTCAAAATAGCTAACTACAATCTTCCGTGATTCGAAACTCCAAACATTTTCAGTTTTCTAAATAATCTCAGCCCTTCGCGTCAAAATGGTGATAGGCTGGACGAGGTCCTTATTCCAATGCCTGTAAGGGCCCGCTGATGGATACAGCTTGTTGATGGGCGGGCAATTCGATCTGCCTCTAATGTCTTTTTAATGTATGCTGAACGGGAGCGGCCGGAGTTTCTGTACAAAACCTCGAACCTAGATGAGAAGACTAAACTTTATTCTCGGCTCCTTCCTTCAAAGCGTGCTGGTTCCTCTTAACGATAATGGAGCAGATCTGGACTCCCTCTGAAACTGACAGGAAGAACCACTCTTGGCCCAGAAGGTCCACAAAGCCTCCATCCTTGAAGCTCATGATAACTCTTCCGACTGGGTTCGAAATTGTCAACTGCATCAGAGGACAATGGCGTTAGATCTGCTTGAAAGTTGTGTGCAGTGACTTTTGTTGTCTTGCACTTGTCGTGCGGAATGGTTGCGGCTGCAGTAAAGTATCAAAGTATCAAAGTGCACAAAATCTGCAAACTCGAAGGAAGTTTGAGCGATTGGAACCCACCTGAATTCCTCTCTTCTTTAGAGCCATGTTCAATTCTTCGAAAGCATGGATTGCTGCAGTGTCGATGCTCATCACAGCTGCAAATTCAAGAGAACAGAAAGAAGTTAGGACATTAACATATCCAGTGCAGTATTTCTACTCATACTTCAATACGAGACCAAAGAGCTTGCGAAATTTGAGGACCATCTGGACCAACTGTTTCATGCGAATCTCAATTTGCAAATTTGTGAATGCAAATTTCAATGCAAATTTACAAATTTTGCGGAAGTACTTACGGGCCATTTCAATGATCACAAACTGGACCGGGGTTCCATTAGTTTCCGCAACTTGGTCTTCAGCTTCATTGACGTACCTCAAGATTCTGCCATCAGAAAAAATGTCATCAGGAGTGCAACCTCATCACCCAACCAGAGTAACTTATTATATTTAAAAAACTACAGCCAAGGTGGTACTGGAATCTTAGAGGCACATCCATACCTCTCGCGGATGTAGTTGGAGTTGGAGAAATAGATTGCTGCGTCCACGCGGATGATGACAATACCAGGTTCGGAGGTGGCGTTGGGGTATTGAATGACATTTCGGTACACGGTGGTGCCGGGGATGTTACCTAAGAGAGCAGTGTGTGGTCTGGTAACGTGGAGCAGAATCTTGCCGAAGGAGATGACAACCTGCACCGGGCAGAAGAATCAGACCTGGGCCAGGGAAACTCTTTTCATGACTTTCAGTGGTAGGTGTCACAACCTTCGTCATCATCTGAATAGATAAATTCAAAGCATCTTTGACTAGATCCCGGGGCTCTTCTTCACGCTTACATCCGAAGATTCAATCTCATCACTGAGATGTCAGACTGAGAATATCAAGATGCATGAACTGACGGATTGTTCTTTAAAGAATTGTCCACTGCTAAGGACAGGGCCACGAGGGAACAAGCCGGCTTTAATAAAAGGGCCGCTTGTACGGAGTAAATTCAGTGAGAAAATCGTTTTGAAAGGTTAGATGAGGACAGATTAGATGATTCCCAGCACAAGCATCGAGATTTTTCCCCGAAAGGTTGGTAGGCCTCGACTTACAGCAACGAGAAGACCGATCTCGACGGAGACGAAGAAGACACCGAAGAAGGCTCCGGCTAGAACGAGGAAGTCGACCTTGTCGGTTTTCCAAACCAGGAAAGCAGCCTGGAAGTCGATGAGGTTGATCACAGCAGAAATGATGATGGCCGAAAGGATGCAGTTAGGTGTGTAGTAGAAGAGTGGGGTCAAAAACAGAAGAGTGAAAAGCACCACGATTGCCATGACAATGTTGGCCAAAGCTGTGTGACACCCGGACTGGTAATTGACTGCCGATCTCGAAAAGGAACCTACAAATATTACAGACGACATCAGATTGTTAGTCTCTCGACAATTTCGAACACTTTTCATCGCAGATGAGTGCACAACGATGAATATCACAGAAGGATGAAAGAGCATAGACAGGAAGGTCGAAGCCAGAAAGTAAAATCGCTGCCTGAACCAGATCTCGTTACCTGTTGCCACATAGCACGAAGTCCATGATCCAGCGATGTTCATTGTACCAATAGCAATCATTTCCTTGTTGCCATCGATGTGGTAGTCTTTCAAGGCTGCGAAGGTCCTCCCAATTGCAACCGCTTCCTGAACACACAGAGTATGGTAATGGCATAAGTAGTGTCCTCTTCGTGGAATCATCATCAGACATGAGCAAAGAAATTATTCATGCTTGAAGTCTCCTGATGACCGTGGGCAAGATTTACCGTCAAAGCGATAAGACCCGAAACGAGGCCGATTTTGAAACCCGTGGCCAGATTAGGACCGCTCCAGAAAATATCATTGAAAGAAGGTGGGTTGACTCCCTGCTCGATTTTCGTCACAATTTTGACTCCATGTTTGTCTAGGCGAGTCAGGTACACGAAGAGAGTCGCACAAACTACGGATGTCAGAGGTGCGATGGCGGCAACCCAGAAGAGGTTCTTCCTGATTTTTGACTGCGCAAGGAAAGAGCACGCGAATTTTAGATTCTGAATACATTCAGCAAATTCAGCTCTTCTTAAAACTAGTTCATCCACTGTCCAGGATTTGATGGACCAGCTGGTTTCAAGATCAGAATCACGTTGATCGACAAATGTGGACATAGATAGGCGCTTGCTTGATAAATCCACGGAGGTCTGAGACTAATGAGCTTACGATGCGCTTCGTGATCAGAAGGAAGGCGAGGAAGAATAATCCCAAGACTATCGTCTGCCAGTTCCACTGCAAAGAGACGGAGATAGCAAGACGATGAGATCGAGCAGCGACCAAGAGTAAAATTGTTCCAAATCAAGTCACAAGTAAAATGCAGCACCTGATATACGGAGAGCTAAAGACCTAAGATTGTATTTTTCTACGCATGGTCTTGTACATACCTGGTCGGTGTTGGAGAACACTGATCTCATCACGGAAACAACGTCAGTTTTGGTCGTGAAACTTGTAATTCCACAAAGTCCCTTCAACTGCTGAAGAGCAATGGTGACTGCGGCTCCGGCCATGAATCCAATAATCGCCGCATGAGATAGAAAGTCGATGATGAATCCAAGTCTGTATCACAGCAAGAGTTAACTGTAAGCCTTGAAGCAACTGGTTATAGATGAACCAGCAATTCACGAGTACTCCAGGCATGCACTAGTGATTCCGACCACGAACCTGAAGAGTCCGAGGCCTGCCTGTACGACTCCAGCGAAAAATGTTGCCGTATAAGCAAGGTGCAGGTATTCCACTTTGTTAAGTTTCGGGTCCATCTCATCCTTGAGCAGTTGACCCAAAATAATTGACACCACCGCGACAGGCCCGATGGCAATATCCTTCGAACTCCCGAGCACCGAGTAAACCAGCGGTGGAACGAAGCTGGAATCTGTTGCACCAGGCCAAACATCATGTGTAGAAATTCGTTAGAAGCTCGTAAGAGTTGGAGGCTTGCACTGTAATCGTCGAGTCAAATCTACACAATTGTCGAAGTCCTGGACTACAGTTGCAGTTGCATGCCAAAGTACGACCGAAATAATGACATGGAGTAACTCACATAAGCCATGGATTGGGTCCAAGTTCGCCAGCTTTGCATATCCAAGATCCTGCAAAGAGACAGAAGTGTGTTTCAGTGTCTGAATTGTGGCATTTATAGGTGACAAGAGAGTTTGGACTGGCCTGCATCAAGATCAGCTCAGAGGACCAGATTCAATGCACCATATCCATGACTCCCACATGTTCGGAAATTTGGTTGCTTCACTCAATCACCGAGATGGAATCAAAATACCTGTGGGATGGCGAGACTAGCAATGGTGAGTCCGGCCACGATGTCACCCTTGAGCATACTCAACTTGTACTTAGGCACCCAGTCGAGAATGGGGAAGATGTAAGCGAGGCCTACAAACCACCTCTTCTTGCCCGTGTGGCCCTTGAAATGTCTCATGGGATCGTCAGCAAAGAATGTCTCCCTCACTGCATCTTTGATTTGTGATCCGAAGCTGGAAGTGGGAGGAACTCCCACGCTGTGAACCAAGGACCTGTCCTCGGATGATACTCCATTGGTGGGAATGGTTCCACTCTCTCCCAGATCATCGGTGCGAAGTCGTCGAGTATGTGTAGCATCCGCCTCGTTTGAATGACTCATTTTCGTAGCCTGCAGACAATTAAGATACAGCCAGTACGTCTGAATAGTTGCGGTCTACTTCTCAATCGGTTCAATTCAATGACAGTTGAACTTCCAATCCCTCGCAGAATTTCAGTCTCTGGACTGACATGGGTAACTCAACATCTGAAGCCAACAGAGAACGCATGTCCTCGTAATGCAGGCCCTCGACCGACCAGCTCTACCAAACAACTTCTGCACTCGAGGAATATAAAAATCCAAACAATTGAAAAGCGACACGAAGCTTCTTACCGATCAACAGCGGCGATTCAAGAGTACGATCCTACACCTAAGCTTTAATCTCAAGCTTCTGAATGTGATTTGATCGCATTCTCCTCGTCTGGCACTATACTACAAATTCTCAGTCCATCGACGAACTAAACATCTCGACTCCCAAGGCCTGGGGAAGGATATGGACTTTTAGCCTATCTGGACCCTAGTGTGTCTGTCTTTCGCTCACACATACCATATGAGACCTTCGGGGAGTATTTGTACTCGTAGACCCAGTAATTAAATAAACTCTTACTCCAAGGTGCATGTATCTAGTAACTCCGGACATCTACTGTCGCAATACTAAAAATACCGACCACCTATCCGAGGAAAATCTTTAAATAAAATGGCCAGTGTAGCTTCAAGATTCTTCAACGCAAAAGTCAAAGTCCACTTCTATCATAATTCAGGAAAAGCATGCAGCATTGTTTGTACCTGAAACCGCAATTTGTCCCACCAGAGAGCTTCTGAATCGCCGGGCTGCAACTAGTTGCCTGATGACTAGATCAGTTCGGAAGCCTTTATTCCAGTGGTGAGTTAGATATCTTTGTAGAACTAACAAGCTGGGAATCTCCAGCTGATCATATGGTGTGTGTGTCTCAAGCCAAATGCCCCAGGCAAGCTAGCTCAGGATCCCACTGACTGATGGTGGCTTAAGTCTGAATACTGAAAGCAATCCATGAAGTCTTTTATACGCTGACGGTTCTGGATTGCTTGGTACGGGACAAGAATAGACTCGCGTGAAAACCAACCATTTTTACTGCACCGCATAGCACAGTGTTGACTTTTTGAGTGAGTGGGGAGCTGGAGTTTCGCGGGATGAGGTGGCGAGCAACTTGAAATGCGCCTGGAAACTATCCCAGTGTAAAACATAACATTCTGCCATCACAGGTGCATGCACCGCAGCCACCACCGCTATAAACCAGCCACAAGAGCCGGAGCATCCATCAGTTCAGTCGCATCCTGCATTGTCGAGTCTGTATATCGAAGATCCTATCTCTCGTACCAGCGATTGCATATCCGAGCCGAGATCATGTACGACCTCACAAAGACTCGAGAAACTGTAAGCTGGCACTTGCATTTACTCTGAGATCTTACTTGAAAATACTTCTATTTTTGCTGTCATGCCCGCAAGGAGATCGTGCTTGTATTTCAAATTATGAACTTGCGTTGAGTCGCACTGCATGAGAGCCTGAACGCTGGATTTTCCTTGTGTGCTTCCGACATTCGTTTCCAGGAAACATGTAACTTTCAGCTCAATCGTGTGATTCTAGGAATGGTCAGTTTTCAAAAACTCTAACTCTGATTTGAGAGTCATTCAATTATGAAATCGATGATGATCCTTGTTGTGGACCTGATCCAAGAATATAGACTCGCTCTGTGATAGTTTCGGATGGTTGAAGTTATCAATATAACCAATCGAAACTATCACAGAGTAAGTATATATCTCTACTGATACATTTATAATAAAAACTTCTGAATGATTCTTCACGACTGGTTGGTATATTGTGCTATCTGTATTGATAATCAGGTCATTGACTCTGAACAGATTGTACATTTTTCTTTCAATAGACTCATTGAATTTGAAGTCAAGTCAATTTCTAGGCCAAGATTTGTGTTTGCAGTGAAGTCGTTGCATACTTGGTTGCACTAGCAAATGCATACTAGTAAGTGAATATTTTTAGTTAGTAGAGTTTATTGAAGCTCACAATAACGAAAGAACTGGTCTACATATGTATATATTTCCTTTGAAATATGAATGTATATTTAAATTGTTATCGTTTTGGAATTATATCATGCTGTTATCATTATCTAAATTGTTATATCATATCCATGAAAAAATTACTTATAAAGGAAGATCTATACCAGAAATCAATTTGTAATCTATAATATATTGAAAAAAAAAATGTTGATAACTTTTCGATATTTTGAGTAAATAATGTTTTTCAATCATTTTTCCAAATTCGCTTTTCTTTGCTTATAAACAGATAGTTAGAATATTATTTATCAACAGTTATGAAATGAATTGCACTTGGAAGACATCCATAGTATTTTTGTATCAAATTTTAGTTCAGATAATTATGAAGGTTAGAGAACAAGATTCTAATCACATCCATGGAACTCTAAGCACAAAACTTACATGCAAAATTTATAAATATAATTGGTGATGACAAGTTTGAACATATGTCCAAAGATATGAACTGCAATAAACTTTCAAGTTCCGTTGACAATACAATTTAATCTTTGTGCAAGTTACATTCTTCACTTTGTTAACAGTTTATTCATCCAACAATGTTTTGAAATCAATTTTTGTCTTACGTTGTCTTACATGAAAACCGATCTGGTTATTTTTGACATAGGTGCTTACAACACCTCAATGTTTCTTCATTAGAAAGTAAAACCAAATGAAATATCATATCATCTTCAAAATTTTGAAATTAAATGCCGACATTTGACTGAAAATCTTTGTTATGTATTTTTACACAGTAAATAAACGGAACTTACGTCGAGAATTTGGTCATCTTATAAGTCAACGAGGATTGTACGGTTGAACATACTTCAGGGCTTTAACTGTAATTGAACACTTTCTTACTTTGAATTATAAAGTAGATCTGCCTCGCTTAATCTTGTATCATGACAACTCAGATACTTCAAAAAATATCCCTGATTATCATTTGTTTATAGAATACATATTATATCAGTTGAGTATTTCACATGCATAACCCAATAAGCCACGTGCATTATGGAAATTACTCAGCAGGTGGTAGAAATGGATTCTTTAGAGTTTGACTTTTTTGAAGAATCAGCCGAATTCATTTATGAGCTGCATACTGCAACACTTTAGATAGACATGATGACAATCACTTCACATGAAGAATAATCAAAAGTAGCTCGTTGTGAAAGTAAAAGAAAATTACACTCAGTAATTTCAGTTTTTTTCTTAACAGACTACACCATTAAAAGAAGTTTGACTTGAAAATCAGGTTGATATCAACTTTCAAGTGATTCGGCATCTCATCGCCCTCAAGGTTCAAGACTGAAACACTCTAATTTTTTGGCCAAGTTTTCACTTTAACATTGGTTTAATTCCCTTAGTATCGTAGTAAACAGCTTCCCAAAAACGGTTTTAAGAGCTACGATGCGTGTGATTTTTCCTGTTTATAAGAAGAAAGGGGCACATATCCCTACAAAAGTCTTTTCATGCATCAGTCAAAGAAGTCTTCGAAGTTCCACGCACCAGAAGCATACATAGTTTCATCGAACTGAGATGTGATTTTAACATTAATACAATCTGGCCTTTTAATCTCTGTTAAGTATATTTTGAACCCGTACACTTGGACCACTCTTACATATGTTATGGAGCTCGTAAGTTGGGTAATAAAAAGCCTCGTTCTTTTAGAAGCCATGGAACACTTTCGGACTGACAATATACGAGTATAGTTTCAACAGGAAACTGCATCCCCACTTTAACCACAGTCATTTTGTATGAGTTGAGTTCCAAGATTGCATGAACCGAGGACATGTACATGTTGGCCGATTGACAGTAATGATGAGTTGACGCAGATTACAAAGTGGCCCTGTTTGTGTAAAGTAATTCACATATGAGTCTTCAGCTTACATGCATAAAGATGACGAGGGCTTTATATGATGGAACACCTGAGGTCGGCACACAATTGCCAACTCCAGCAATGATTGCCTTCGAAAACAAATGCAAATCTTACGTTTGAACGAACCATATACTGGACATCATCGCCAGGAATTTATGACGCAGTGCAAAGACCATGGAAGTAATATATTGTCATCCTACATCATAGTGACCGTCGTGTCTACATATATACAATGTAAGTAAACTGTATCATAAGATAACATTGACGAAGAATACCACGACGACGATTTGTCTTAGTTCTTTAAGCCTCAAGGAGACACTAAGAGATTCTGTTTCATACCACTTCACGATCAGAATGTGGAACGTACATCCATCTTGCACAAGGTCTCACTTCCAGTTGACTTGAACACTGATCTGAGTTGATGAAAGTGAGCATTCGTAAGCTTCCCAGTCGCTTAAGCTGACCAAATGACAAGGCATTAGGAATGAAAAAGGGTCTTAGAATCAATGAATACTTTCTATGTTATACACCCCAATACTAGAGGTCCATCATTTTGAGCACGAACATAATGACCAGATAGTTTTCTGCTTAGCTGTCAGCCGGCCGGCATTGTCTCTGGATTGTATTCGTTGTGATAAGTGATATCAGAGGGGCATGCGCTGAACAAGTTTTCGAATGTAGGGTACGAATGTCGGGATCTACATGGACATAGAAATATGGTGTTACAATTTGTTGTCTCACATTTCAATGCGAGGCCTAACGAATGATTTTAGTGTAAGATTGAATTTCGCAGTGACGACTCACGTGATGAGACAGATGAGACCTCTAAGCTTACAAACGAGGTCGAGTTTCCGATTTCAAGACTCACAAGATGGATTCGCTCCATGGTGGGCCAAGTTTCGTCAAGATCTGCAGGGTTTTTGGAGAGCTCAGATGAACAGAGTTTACCTGCCATGAATATCGCGCATCGGGAAACCGATACAGCATGCAGGGATCTAGTGGCAGACGGATGGCACAGCGTGAAGATTCAGTTCGCTCTGTTGGCTAGCTAGTTGTAGGCGTTTTCGTGCTCCAGCACATCAGACTCGGGGCCGGAATCCCGCCCAGGTGCATGCACCTCGGATACCACCGGCCCGGAGCAGACCTGGAGAACTCAATATCGACGGACGCACTTCAATTGTTGGGCGTCAGTAGCTGACGGGTGATGGTGAATCCTTGGACTATGGCGCTTCTGCGGCGACGAGCCTCTATTTCCGACCAGTACTAATATAGTGGCTCTATGACCATATGAGCAGTTGCTTACTTCCAAGCACTTCTCATCTCAAAGGCTGCAGTGAGGACCTGTGTCTGGACAAATTCACTTCCTTCCTTCCTGTGTCTCCTCAAGCTTTTCGATTGGCAGTATTCTTCAACTTACAGCGAGCATCGCTCTCTTGAGGTAAATAAGCTGCTGAATTCACGAGTTTGTGCCTACATTCTTACAACTATTTCGAATTAGCAAGATAGGCGTGCGGGTTGACGCACTTTCTGTACGGCATTGTGCCCTCTTAGTCGTGACTATTGATTGATCATATTTTTTGTTCTGTACGGCATGATTCTTTTACTTTTGCCAGCGTGCATAGACTGAGCTCACTATTCTTCAGCACGACCATTGCTGTTTTGATTTATCTCGGTATGTTAAGTTCGAATAAACGCAATAGATGTGTACAGGCTCAGAATGTTTGCCTGCTGAAAGGGTGTAATTGCTGTTCTGAGCTGACTGTGCTTTTGGTTTTATGCAAGACAATGTCGTGTTTGACAGAGACAGTTTGAATCAGTGATTGGGACCAACGGAGACGATGGGCTAGCCATGAGAATGTTTTACAATAAATTGCAGAAATATTCCAACCGAATGTTCAACTTGAAGCTTACGGAACTGCCTGGCTGAGTAGTCGATCAAACCATAGTATCAGGGGAATCAACCTTCCAGAGTACTTCTCAACGCTCACATCGAGCTCAATGTGGTCTCAGTAGATAGAGATGCACAAGCTCACGACACGATCCTCAAGGTCCTTCTCTCTAACGTACTTGTGTGACCAAGCCTGTGCGTGGAGAACCTCGAAACGTGGCTTCGTTCTTCTGTGGAAACACAGTGTTGAATCGTAGCTACTCCATGGGTCGAGGTGTACTCTGCACCCAAAACTCTGTCGGCAGGCCGAGGAATCCTTATCTAACTCATTGATATGGAGTTCTCATAGTGATCCAGACTCCCCCATGATCTCTGCGTAGGTCTTTAGCTCAGCAATGTAAGCATTGCCGGACTCTCTCCAAAGTAGAGTATTCAGATGCTTCGCGTTGATCTGATATTACTCTTACCTGACTTTGCATATAATCTCATCTAGGTTATCTGATTTCAGCTCGCTAGATGGAGTAGCTGCATGCATTTTATACTATGATCGGGTGTTTTTCGGCTTTGTTCAGTTTGCTCTTTTTCATTTGAGTGGCAACTCTGATATGTGGTACCAATGCGAATATAATAATCTCATCCCGCACGGGGCGAGAAATCATGCGTTTGCAGCGTGCATGCGAACGTATCGAGAAAAGTGGGTTGAAACTTTCATAAAACATGCATAGATTTAGGTTCACATTCTCTCTCAGTAACTTCATAACTGAGAGAATATAACTGACGGCTACTACTAATGGTATTGCCCACCCTTCAGACAGCACTGAAAATTGCATGAAAAGTTTCTCGGTCAATTTTCTGTGCTGTTTGACGGTTGGGCAAAACCAACACGCAGTATCGTCAAAAGATATAAGAAATATAGTATCAATCCTGAAACAACCCATTTCCTTTGAAATTTTTTTAGAATTATCTTTATAAACTTTGATCTCAGGATTGGAAATAGCGGACAAGACCTAGTTTTACAAGTTAACCTAGAAACGTAACAATCCGTTCTCTTCGAATTCCCAATTGCGCGTGTAACCATCTTCATGTTGAGAATATTGTCCTTCTTTATAAGTCTGTCTTGTCACGCAAACAGAGTTGTGTCTGAAATCCAGATTCTCTGGATGGTTTGTTTTATTCACAAGGAAGTTTCTCGCAACTTGTTCATCGTTTAGCCTTTCATTCACATTTATCCTAAGCTTTTTGTTACATCTTCGTGACTCTTGTAGCATACCACGCGGCCTTTAGTTGAAGGAATTCAGTATATTATTCCGAGTCTGTTGATTCTCGTAGGGGAGAGTATCCTGTCAAGAACTCTGTGCTCTATATCTTCTTACATGCCGCAAAGGTCTGATATGTCCAGATAGATTAATCGTTGACTTCACAGCAAGAGTGACCCTAGCACGTAGGAGGAAAAACCTTACATATCGTCAGTTCAAACTAACACACCTAGATTCAATATTCTGAGATATAGTGTTACTAAGTGTTGTTGATATTTTTTAATTCATGATTATATAATATAAATATATTTTTTAATCTGGTCAAGAAGAATTCACATTTTATCATCACACAAATATGATATGACTAATTACTCCACATAAGAAAAGAAAAAATATAAATTACATCATTTGCAACTACTCAAAAGAACATTCTCCATTTTAGGCATGATAGAATGAATGAGCTTCGATCATGGTATCCATAATGCTATATAGATACATCATGTTGATAATGTGAGAAAGAAAGAATATCTTGCATTTTGATCTCTTTGAAAAGTGTCCAAATTTTTTAATTAGAAATATTTACCTGTAGATCATTTTAAATAATGTAAATATGATCACGTGATGATAAAATGTGACATCTTCTTGACTTGAAAAAGAAATATTCATATTCTTGGTACATGGAAGTTCGTATTGGACTATACATATATTCTTTTGGCGTAATCCACTCCAAGAGTTTGGGAACCTATCTTTGCCGATGTACTTTACCTTCTCGGGTCTCAGCGTCCTGGATGTGATCAACTTGCACTCAAGAGCATGCACATTCATAATTAAATCATTTTCAAAACAAACCTTTTGGGTGTGGAGGATCTAGTTTGTCTCTAGTTTAGAATCCGACATGTATTTCACGGGTTAGATGCAGTATCTTTAAACCTCATCGCAGCGAATGACAGAAAGTACCTTTATCAGGCTTCGTGGCGTGGGCAGTTTGATCCAGATTTAAAGATCAGATATCATTATGACGGGAAACTCGATCTTTGAAGTTCTCGACGATGTGCACATTCGGTACTGGAACTGCCCGTGAGACAGTGGGAAAACGGCCGGGACCCTCATCGACGCCCATCGGATCATTAGATCGAGCAAGGTGACGTGATGACGTTTTGTTGGCATACGATCACCAATAGTAGAAAGTCAGTTTCTGGAATCCTGTAAGACCTCTTCTTATATCCCAAATAAATCAGTGATTCGGTATGAATCTATTTTTGAAATAGATTCCTCGAACACTAACAAAAATGGTATGAATCTCCTTAGACATAGCATATCAATCAGATCTATCTCAAATTAAAATGATTTGGTAATCATCCATGCGTCTATATCTATGACAGCCGTATGTATATACTTCTTGTCTATATATATGACAGCCGTATGTATATACTTCTTGACATCTTAACATTACCACAACATAAGCATAAGCTTCAAATGAATTCTCCTGTAATAGAGTTTGAAAAAATTCTTGCCCTCTAGTCTAGATCAAAATTTTCCACCATATCACTTTGTCGATAAGAATATTTAATGGTAAATACATCAGATTTGAAGTCAATCCTTAAATCATGTCAGTTCAAGACCGAATGCTCTGTGCTATAATTTCCTACATATCTTCACATTATAAGTCTTATCACTTTGAGTTTAATCCAGATATATGAATCTGTTCTTCATCAATATGACTGCCTAAAGATATAATATTTTGTTGGTAAATAAAAACATTGTGAGCAAAAGCCTATTTTTCTCTCTAGACTCCATTATCTCACAGTCAACTGGTTGTGAACTATTAGATGTAACTCCTCTAGCTTTAAACTCTTAATTTGTATCATAAAGATATGTATTTATAATTACCACTTGCTCAGTCCAAAAGAAATCATGCTCAAAAATATATCTTTTAACTCCCGGTGAGATTCAAATATAAGAATATAGTCATTTCGTCCTCTTAGATGTTTTCTCCATCTTTTATTTTCATCGTCTTGCTAGACTAAGAGCTCATCAATGGTTGGAATTTCCACTTGCAGTGCTAGCTTCTCTGCTCAACCAATCCAAGGCTTGAGATCGAAATCAATAAATTCGTGGCATGTACATGTCAAATTTAAAACTTAATATCTCTTGGAGTAAATTACTTGATGGGACCCTTGGAAACTCAAGAGAGTTGAGTTTCCAACTCAACTCTCTTGAAGGGACCCAACAGTTTTCAATTTACCGGATGTGACTCCATTCGACGGCCACCGTCAACCATGTTCTTATAACCTACGTCACTTGTAGATAGATATAAGTAGAATGTAATGTCCACTGATATGTCATTCATGAAAGTGATAAGCCTTGTGTGATAGATAGGAGCTACATTACTGACAATCTAGAATTAAAAAAAAGAACATAGATATAAATGTGATTGTTGCTAGAATTGCTTGGGGAACCAATAGCAAAGAGGAAAAGCAAGTAAAGAAATGTTTACACCAACATTTTAGTGGAATTCTAATGTATATATTACAAGAGATGTGAGGGAATTACTTGATGGGACCCCTGGTAAATCTAAAACACTTGATGGGACCCAACAGGTTTCATTTTACACGATTGGCCCTGCAGCCCCACCGTCAGTGACGTTCCAGTATTATCTAGGGTTATTTCGAGTAGAAAGATGAAGTCACGGTTTAGACTCATGGTGCCCGTCGTTTGTTTACACATGGCTGCGAAGGAGTCGCCAAAATACTGTGGTCCGACAATGGCGGACACTCCCCACTCTATAGAGCAAATCCTTTTTTTCAGAAGTTTTTTCACCATAGTTGAGAAAACTATACACACAATTTTAGTCTAGTTGCATCCAAAATACCAATAGTTCAATTTTCAATCGAATCTAATACAAACTACTGATCACTTGTGCATATGGATTGTAAACAAGAGAAGACTCACTCCAAGGCATTTGTTTATCTGACGTGGTTGAAGAGTTTGGACATCTACCAAAACATGTCAAGACTTAACTCTTATAGTTCATGATCATTACTAGCTCTAGTGTGTTCCTAGCATTGCGATTGTGCAATAATCAAATTTATGATGCCTTGGTTGCAAGTCTTGGGAATCTATGAAATATTTGACACAAAGAATTGCTTCTATTCTTGATCCGAGAAATTATTGCACCAAGTGTAAAATATGGTGTGAATTGTCTTGTAATCTCATATCGCCAGGCATATGAAAATATATATATAACCTACATATAGAAAATAATGACATCGTTCATCAAACAACCTCACATAAGGGTTTCGTTATTATTAAAGACAAAAAAAAATTATTCAAAAATTTCCAAGTAGATTTCAATGAAATAAGGCAAGCTAACCAAGCATTTGAAGATGAGATTACCCTACCATATGAAATATATAAGACAAATCAGTTTAATTCCTCAAAATAATGAGATAATCAATCTTATCTAATAAAGTTTAGCTTTCGATTGAATTGAAATAAAAAACAGAAAAGATGTTTCCCTCTCATTTCAGAAAACTATAGTCGCAGGATGTGTGATAATATATTCACGTGAGCTCAGTACTACTACTCTTTATCTTCGCAAGGTAAATGAGATCTCAGCCGCTCCCATGCAACCAAAAATGTATTAAAAGTCCATCAACATTCAAAATAAAATTGCTCTTTGATTTGACACTGTAGAATGAGTCTTTTCTAGCAGTGAACCCTCCATGTCACCCATATTATAATGGTGAACCATGCTACTCTTCCACATAATTCTTGACTTCACTCTATTTCCGTACATTATATGCAAGTTATACTCGCAAGAGATTCATCCTAGATCACTAATCAGTGATTAGTGATCATAATGGACTATAGGCAGTCACGTTTGTTACAAGGTAAAGTTCAGTCAAATACAAAACTTCTGGCTAGTTAAGCTCAATTGAGAGAGTATAGAATAATAGAGCAAAAGGGGTGAGTATATCTATTAATATGAAAAGTGATGAATTCAAGGTGGCACGATAGGGCTAGCTGAAATATAAATTATTGACTCTAACCTATGAAAACTGTATACAATTGATGTAGATACTACTTGAGCGACCCAAAAAATCATCAAGTAACATGATTGATCTCCTATATACTTTTGTATGGAAATAGATACTTGATTTCCAAAATAACAAAAACAATATATTGGAAAAGTGAAATCTATGTCGTTTAGACTTGCAAGCCCTATGACACATACTTTCAAAGCGAGAGTCAGAATTCCACAGGAATCCACTCAAATGTACAGAAATGGAAAAATACCCGTTTTCGGAATCTCATAACGATCGATGGCCATACGTTACAGGCGCGTAACAACCCCAGTATTGATGAACAAACTGCGAATAAAACAAACGCAATCTCAGTGTGAAATATTCACACTCTTATGTCATTAAAAAACTCTCTGATGGAGTCGTGTGTATCGAAGTAAGGGGGCCTCCAACTAGGTTAGGTAACCCACAATCATATATTATTTATGAAGCAGTTCACGGTGTAACAAACCACCGCCGAATATTGGAGGTACATCTCCCACTGTCAATGTGGAAATTTTGCATTACCTTCTTCAAGTCAATTCAAGGTAACACTTACCGTATAGACACAGGGTGGTGACATTATGTAGTGCCATGGCGAACACCGACCAAGAAGAGTACGAACTTTAAAAGTATCTTTCCAGGCGGCCGCGTTTCGGGGATTTGCTACATGCGATGTGATTGCTACAGACAGAACTGGGTCGGCACTTTGCAGATTGCATATCTGCAGTGGCCCCATATTGAGTGAAGTGTGGAGCTCTACAGTTGAATACAGAACATGCAGTCTTGCAAGAAGACCGGAAGCTTCGGGTGTTCTTTACGAGGAGTGTCTGTCGATCTAGTTTGAATAGATTCGACCTTAGAAGAAACATAAATGTATGTTCTTGTTTATATGTACTGGGAGTATCCGTCGGTATTGCCTCGTGAGTGGCGGTTGCTAGTGTTACAGGAAGCAAGGGAAGTCCTGACTTATACACCATCTTCACGGAAATCCATTTCACTCTGTCATGCCTGATGCTCATAGGCTCAATTTCACATCCGATATTCCGATATGCAACAAGTTTATTGGCACATTTAATTGGAAATATAGATTGTTCAATGGTCATTACACGACCTGTTTTACATGTTACCTAAATCGTGCTTCTGGATTTCTGGAGTACAAATTGAGAAGTTAGTTATTCAGGAAATTTCAGCTGTTACCCGCATACTAGATTGATGCAGTTTAAATTTTCAGATCAATAGTGCACTCAGCAGGTTACTGCAGCGAACATCATAAGCTGCCAATCTGCAACAGTTACGATTGTGAAGCTTGACATATTTACAATTCAGATTTCCAACGTTCTCTCCGCTTCTTGCAATAAAAAGAGATCAAATCAGATAAATCACCACAATTTTGTCCTATAGGTAGGGATTGAGATCTTTTTAAGGTACAGCTCGGTCAGAGGGGACATGTCGATCTACTCTGTACTGAACAGAGGCGACATTGTTCCACCATACACTAAAACTCAGCTCGATAATGCAAAGTTCAAAGTTTGCAGTGCGACGTACAAAGAAATCTCAAAACTTTTCGCTCGAATAGCTGTACTTATGTCTGGCATGATACATTATGGTGACATGACACAAAATTTTAGCACTTAACCATCTTACATGATGTAAACAATCCATAGGCCAACTATCTGCCAACGGTATCTGGTGGAAAAATTGAAAAATCAGCACGACAAACTCAGACAAGATCTTTTTGGTGAAGTGTTTATAAACACATATTTACAAAATAATGATTCACAATCTTCCCCACCTTGACCAATATACTGTCTACCGCCACATTCTCACACCTCAATCTTCCACATGAGGATTGTTCAATTTATTCCTAAACGCTCTCATTTCATGTTTCTAAATTCTACGGCCCTATCACCAATCTAACCAACAAAATCCTCAACTGGAAAATGTAAAAGCTTATTTCTTTGCTGCAGACAATGATTGATCATTGGACTGAACAGCCAGCTCTTTGCTTCCACTATACAACTTGGGAGAGACGAAAATTGATCATCCTGGAGATTGAAGACGACAAATATCCCTACACAGCTGTTGTATGCTACAGTTTTCAACCACATCTGAACTGAATGGTACCATATCCGTTTGTTCGCTGCTTCTGCAACAAGAGCGGCGAATAGAAGGGGATATTATCATCTGTCTAGACATTCTCCGTGCCCTTTTCTTCTTCCAGAGCGTGCTGATTCCTCTTCATTATGATCTGACACACGGAGACTCCCTCACCAACAGAGAGGAAAAACCATTCATGGCCCAAAAGGTCGGCGAAACCTCCAGCTTCCAGTTTTTCAATCACTCCTCCAACTGGGTTCGAGATTGTTATCTGGACACAAAACAAAATCCAAATCACGTCAATACTTACATACCTCTTCATTCCATAAAGATTTACATACAAAATCCACGTACCATTATTAAAGTGTAACTTGCTCAGGTCAGGCTTTGCATATTACGAGATGATGAAGATGGAAACTTCGACCACTGTTACAAAATAAGATGAAACTGAAATAAAGTAAAGAGCCTCAGAGTATCGAGCCTCAAGAGTATCGATTCTACCCCTTGGTCATACGATATAAAACACGCCCTCCTATTCTGCTGCCGATATGTCCAATCTAGCCTACCTACACGTAGCCTTCGGGCAGCATGAAAAGTTATGATTCCCACGCCATGCACAAAACAACAAAAAGTGTATATAACAAGCCTGATGAAGACCTTTATGTTCAGGACAAAGAGAGCTGTAAAGTCACGCAGACATACAAACCACGACTTGAGAAAAATTCATACCTGAATACCCCGTTTCTTCATCGCTGTGTACAGTTCCTCAAAAGCATGAATACCAGCTGTATCGATACTCATGACGGCTGTAAACAGATACCACATGTTGTTAAACACACGACACTGTTGAATTTCACAGGTGTATTGAGTTCTATGCCTAGAGAATAGAATAAACTGACAAGAATACTTACGCGCCATCTCGATGATAATAAATTGTAGAGGAACTCCACCTTTCTCCTTGATATTGTCCTCTTCTTCGTTCACGTAACGAATGATTCTGTCGTTCAAGAAAAATGTAGGGATGAAATTCAGCCATACCACTCTATCCCAGCTTTGTAGCCCGTAGCCAGAATCACACGAACGAATTGCACAGTTAAAGTTGAAATTTCACGGACGCAAGCATATTTATACCTTTCTCGGATGTAGTTCGAGTTGGAGAAGTAAATAGCAGCGTCGATGCGCACAATCAGAATACCGGGTTCGGTGGTGGCGTTAGGGTACTGAAGAGTATTTCGATAAATACTAGTTGATGGAATATTGCCCAAAACGGCCGTATGTGGACGAGTAACATGAAGCAAAATTTTAGCGAAAGAGATGATAACCTGTCACATTCCACAAGAGTTATCAGTTAGCGATATATATTCCGAATCCAAATCGCTACGTCACTCAGTCAAATGTCCAAAATGTCCAAAAACCAAATGTCCTCAATTGGATAGTGAAAGAGTCGTTTCAGTGCCAAAAGTGACAATAACATCCCGGGCAAAACTTTGTTATTTAGGACAGTACGAAGGAGCAATGCACAATTACCAAGGGCCCGAAGCACACCCAAAATACAACATCACAAGGCTCTAACAAAAGCTGGGGTGCATTGAGTTAATCGCCTCATTTTATCATTTCTATGCAAGGCTGTGATTCTCCAACATCAAATGCTTTTCTACTATAACAAACTATAACTCACTCCTTTTCATACGCCGTACAAATGCAGTGACACCTATTGCATACACCTGAATATGATCAACACATTCAACTTCTTCGCTCGACCTATTCAGGCTTTCATCCGAATACGAAATTGTGGCAAACAATTCATAACAAATTTAAGATCTAGATGACAAATGACCGCAATTCACAGCTATAATTCAATTCTAAATTCAATACGTACCGCGACGAGTAGACCAATCTCAACAGAGACAAAAAAGACACCGAAGAATGCTCCAGCAAGCACCAAAAAGTCGACCTTGTCGGTTTTCCAGACGAGGAACGCAGCGTCGAAATCGACCAGACTGACGACGGCGGATATGATAATCGCAGATAGGATACAGTTTGGTGTGTAGTGAAACAATGGCGTCAAGAAGAGAAGGGTAAATAGCACCACGATTGCCATGACGATATTGGCCATGGCTGTTTTGCAGCCGGATTGATAGTTCACAGCTGAGCGAGAAAAGGAACCTGCATGAAGAGGTACGTGAACGTGGGCATTACAATATGCATATATATATGATTTAGGAATATTCCATATAACTCTACTTTCCTACATGGGATAAAATATGGGTCAAAGGAAGCATTGGAATCAGTCTCAAATAATCAGCTACAAACTGGAAATGACCAAATCAAACACGCTTCCTCACCTGTTGCTACGTAGCAAGAAGTGAAGGACCCGGCAATGTTCATAGATCCAATGGCAATCATCTCCTTGTTTCCATCGATATGATAGTCCTTGAGAGACGCGAATGTCCTTCCGATAGCAACAGCTTCAGTGAGAGCTACGAGTCCAGCTACAAGACCCACTTTGAACCCCTTCGACAAATTTTCTCCAGTCCAATAGATCTCGTGCAAACTGCCTGGATTGATTCCTTGTTTTATATTCCTCACGATTTTGACACCATGCCTGTCGGCACGAGTGACAAACACGAAAAGGGTGGACAAGATAACAGATGCCAAAGGAGCCATAGCTGCAATCCAGAACAGCTTCTTCTTCATCTTCGCCTGGAAGGAGAAACAACAGCATTACATTCAAATTGAGCTGGTAGACTTCGTAAAACTCTATACACACAAAGCAATATTAAAAAAGGATCTGCAATTAATTGCTTTGAAGCCTTGAGTACACCCGTCGAAATTACTCATAGGAACTTACGATGCGTTTGGTCGTCGGCAACACAAGGAGAAAGAACAATCCGATGCAGATTGTCTGCCAATTCCACTGCATAAAGAAGAACAAATCAAAGTGTCATTTCTCAATATTTGCTGGTGTGGTCAACCGAAACTAGCAGCAGTTCGGAATCTGCAAGGGAAGTCTTCAAACCAAACTGCGAACCTACCTCATCCGTTCGGGTCCACACGGACCTCATCACTGACACGACGTCAGTGTTGGTAGTAAAGTGAGTAATACCAAGAAGCCCTTTCAATTGCTGTAAAGCAATGGTTACGGCAGCTCCAGCCATAAATCCAATAATTGCTGCGTGAGAAAGAAAGTCAATAATGAACCCGAGTCGAAAAAATCCCAGACCCGCCTGCACAACTCCCGCGAAGAACGTCGCTGTGAGAGCAAGACGATAGTACAATTCTTTCTCGAGAATTGGATCGGCCTCGCTCTTCAGCAGTTGACCAATCAATATGGACACGACTGCAACGGGTCCGATTGCAATATCTCTGGAGCTTCCCAGAACAGAATACACGAGAGGTGGTACAAAGCTAGAATCTGCATTTCATGAGATGTAGGATGTCAATCCATTGGTCCGCATTTTTCATGCAGTCGTCCTAAACTGTGAAAACAACATAATCTCCGGAAAGAATTCGATAACCGAGTCAGTCATGAAATGATATATACTCACATAGGCCATTGATGGGATCCAAGTTGGCCAGTTTTGCATACCCCAGATCCTGCATAGGACAATATTGCAAGAGATTAAAATCATGCGAACCGTTTGGCCGCCGCGTATGGGAATGAAAGCTCTGAATGAGCTCGTTCAGCTGTTCTAACTTCCATGTCATGTCTTCGGAGCTCAGAACAACGACAAATCTACCAAACTTTTCTACCCATGCATGTGCCTGTCAAAACAGTACTTCGACGTAAAGAAGACACGTACTTGAGGAATGGCGAGGCTGGCAATAGTCAAGCCAGCAATTAAATCGCCTTTGAACAATTTCCAATTGTACTTAGGCAGCCAATCCAGAATGGGAAAGATGTAGGCCAAACCCATGAGCCATCGTCTCTTCCCGGTGTGGCCCTTGAACTGACGCAGTGGGTCGTCTGGAAAAAAGGTCTCCTTAATAGTATCTCCGATTTGATTTCCAAGACTAGCACGAGGTGGGATTCCTACTTTGTGTACCAAGGGCCTGTCCTCGGGTTTCGTTGCTTCCTGGCTCCCTTCCTCCAAGTCCGTATGAATTCTGCGACTGTGGCCTTCAGCCTGCCTTTCTCTTTCGGACTCGCTTCTGGTAAAATGACTCATTTTCGCTACGTCACGGAGCGCTGCAGGAGTTCAGACAGTGGGGGCGAGCATGAGATTAGCTTCAGGAAACTTGCACCCAGACTGTTCGACGGTGAAATCTACGAATCTCAACCCTAAAGACCATTCACCTCTGAACTCTAGATTGCCCTAAGCTTCTCCGCGCCCCAGTCTAGAACTTCATGACAACCACATTCTTCTACACAAGGACGAGCGTTTTCCATCTTATAAAGGGTTGGCACGAGACCGAGCAAGACCACATTGCACCTCCCCAGAATAGCACTTCGAGTCATCAGATACTGGAATTGGGTAAATGCCTTGTCCAATCCTCGAACTCTCAGTAAGACAGTCGAGCAAGGCCATGAAATTTCCAAGGTGCATGAACCTTCCCGGTCAGTCTTTCAACATCTACACATCTGCTTGGCAATTGAGGACTACCTCGGCGACACGTACTGACGACATCATCAAGGCTTAAAGCCCACACAGCGACACGCAATATCAGGAACGTTTAAATTTGGCATACACACACGTCCAATTTCGCCGAGAACTTCATGTTCAGAAAGTTCACGAGGTCTTACCTCGGGAGTTCTTGTCCACAATGCCGAACTCACAGAAACATCCACGCGGATAATGAGGATCTGTTGACTGTTTTCGAGTCGGACCCTGAATGGGTACGACCTCTTTTTCTTTTTTTCTTTTCTCCTAGCGTCCAAACATCGAAAGACTTAGTGAGTTCGACAGACTCGGTGTGTAGAACACAGCAAATGCTTTCGGCATACAACCAGCGACTAAATCATCAGGGGTACACAGGTAATTCCTGCCTATGGGACTGGATCCAGCTGAAGGGACTTCGACTCCGGGATCTGAATACTGAATCGCGAAGGCGGCTTATAAACGCTGAGGCGCCCGGATGCTTACCGCAGATCAGACAGGATTTCGTCACCGCACAGTAATTCCTTCGGTAATTGGCCACAAACGCCAAGGGGCGGAAGAGGAAACAACAGTCCTGACGTCCGGGGGAATTCTTTTTCCATTGTGCATCCGAGGTGGCGTTCGAGTTCGAGAATAGAAACGCCTACAAGCCGAAGCTGCTGTAGAGCGCTGGGGAAATTCACAGCGCAGCTGCAAATCTCCGGTACGCATTCTCGCATCAATTCGCTCTGCCGGTGCCCCAGTGCCCCGCGAGTTTCCATGGGGCCCAGCACAGATAACGCAAGATGCAAGGACGTAGTATCCAATCTCCGAACGCAGTACGTGCTGCCCGCCTAGCTCACATGGGCACCTTCCGACGGGGACAAAAGGGCCCCGGCCCCACCCTCCCTCCCGATTAGCCCTCGCTCGCAAGTTCCTCCATATCTACATCCTGCCATCGTAGAATCAACACGACAGAACCGCCCGGCATTTGACCTGCATTCATTGCGCGGACGAGGCGACGATCCCCTGTTTCGAACAAGAGGACGGTTAGACAAAGAAAATGCCCTCCACGTTGGCCCCGCCTCGCGCCGCTATTTTAGCGGTCCCGGTGCACTGAATGTCAACACTCTCTCCACCAGTCCCCTCGCGCGGCCTGCGAGATTTGGCTACCCCCTAAATTTGGAGTGCGTGGGGCTCCGCACAGCAGCCCTAGTGTGCTCCGAAACCCCCTCTAGTCTGTCAGAGCCCTGGAGTCTTCCGAGCTCCGACTCCCTTCCGCCTTCGACTTGTCTGGGCAGGCGGCAGCTTCGTCCGCGCCTTCTGCAGAGTCCGGATCGTAGGATCGCCGGGGCCTCTCACGAGCCACAACCCGAGTCCACCGTCACCGATCTCGGTCCTCTGCGTTCTCCATCGGCTTTGACCGCCTGTCGTCTGCGTGCGGCTTCCTGCTTTCTGCTCTGATTTTCTTCCTACCCGCTGCGCTTGGAATTAGCACGGGAAAGAGCAAGACCGTTCTCCATCGAGTGCTCGAGACCACGGTCGATGTCTCTTGTCGAAAGCGTCGACAAATGTCTCACAAAGCTGCCCCAGGCATTTGGCAACTTTTTCAGACACCTCATCCTAGAAGACATCTTTCAGCTCGTACTTTACGAGAAGTGAGTGCAGGATGTCAAAAGTGTTCATCTAGTTTTATGATCACTTTCAAATCTCTTCATCTTATTTCAATTCGTAACCATTTCAATTTGTGTAGAATCTTAAAACGGTGTAGGAGGTTTGAACCTTTATCGTCTCCTTTACAAGCTTAAGTTGTATTTTTCTTTGGTCAATTTAGTCACAATTATTATAAAAAAGTTCGAAGATAAATGGCACGATTGTGGAGATGTGTTCTCCGTTATCTGAAACCATCATGCTAAGCTCAGTCTTACGATGGACGACTACGTTGCTTATTTGCGAAAGGCTCGCTGTAAGCAGGGTTGAGAGAGAGCTAGTATTGGGGAATATTTCACCACGACTAGATACCCATTTACCTCCAAGTGTTATGAACCGTCGACAAGAGACTCCATCCCACATCTTAGAAACATGTCTGAATTTACTTTTCCGTCCTAAGTCGCCTAATTTCCCAATCCACCAGCAATAGACTGCGTGCAACATGAACTCATTCTTGAAACTAAACCCGTGGTCCTGGACCACAACCGGGGTTTCTAGGGTGCCAGCGAACAATCATGCGAAGTGAATGACCCCACTTCTAACACGGGTTTAAAAGGAACTACGTGGTGAGAACATTTGAGACCAGTACAAGGAGAGTACTGCACTCCACCAACTGGGTAATAGACGTATCTCATACGCTAACCGCTGGTACATATATTTCCAGCCCAGTCCATTTGGAAATATAAGCACCGGCAACAAAAGTAGGGTTTAGTCCGGCATTGAATGTATGCGTGGAAATGACAAACTCCAGTGCGGGGTTGAGGGTGTGGTGAGAGCAATAAATAAGCCACTGGTAGCGTCTACGAAAATACTCTTTTCGTTAGGTCTCATAACGACTCACGGTACGTAAAGTTTGACATTTTTTTCCATGGCCTAGATTAGCAACATCGCGTCATAAAACAGTAAAAACATGCTGTAAAGTATCGAACCACGCATGTCAGCTGCCAAAAGTAGTTGCCAATGGGTATGACATGTATTTTGTTAAGTGAAGTGAGCAGAGTTTGACCGACCACCGCGAACTTCCATTAGTAGGGTGCCGTGGTTAGAAGGGAACCCTTCATCATTGACAAATGGTCCGGCACTTTGTCATCGATGATCAATCATCATAAGATCTATCGCTGGACTCTTAACGTCTAATATTTAGAAATATTTTATTTGATACTATTGAATAAAATGAATGGGACACAACACATCTTAGGGCTGCAGCGTCAGTATTATCCAAGCAATTCTTTAGCATCAGTTTCATCATTTCCTTTGTCTTTCATGATAGTATGTGTCACGTCCAGTCATGCAGATCCTAATCAGAAGACTTTTTCTTTTGAAGATAATTCGTTGGAAACTCATCACAGGTTTTATTCAAATCAAATCAACAAAAGCATTTGGAATATCTTTTCAAAGTAGTTTGTATAAAAAAATAAAAGGATAGGAAGACCCTAGCGAGTCTTACAAGAATAAAACCAAAAGTTTATATAGGGCTAAGACTTGTATTTATCCTTGCACTATGGAAAATAAAACCTACGAGAAATATGGACTACAAACTGGAAGATATCTCGATCATCTAGATCAGATTGTAAAAACATGAACATTACTATCTAACAAAAAATACCTAAATGATATCTTTTTAGCTAAATATAGCTAGCGCTCTTTCTATAGTATTGAAATCACGTAACCAAAATTAAAATAAAGAGAATAATACTATTATTATTATCATATATTAGAAATATTCGCTTATCCTTTCACAAACTTGTCTATGTTTGTATTCATAGTTCAAAAAACTCAAAGCTACGTACTTTTATTGCGTTCTTCACATATTTTGTGAAATCATCTCTAGGTATTTTTTTTTAAGAAAACTTGTTTTTGTTTATTGCTTTTTAGCTTTTTCTCCAACATATTTCGGTGTATGTTAACACACTCTGAAACTTTGTAGCACGTGATAATAACGAGCATCGAAAATATTTTATTAAGTTTACCCATCAAAAACAAGTCTGGCTATACTTAATCAACTGCAAAACTTAACACTTGCGTTTTGTGAGATCTAAGGCTTCTACCCCCATAGCAAATATTTCATTCCTACATTGTAATCTAAACTCTCTAGAAGTATTCAATTATATCAAGTTTTGCTATTTGTGAATATTTGAAGATGTTTATGGGTGGATCAAATCATAACAAACGCTCATTGTTATGAATAAAATCATTGGTGATAATCTACAATTTTTTAACCATGGTCAAGTCAAGATTCATAAGATGCAAGCTTTTGAATTATAGAATACATCTAATTTTACAAGAAACCTTCGTTGACTAGAAATAGAAATACATATCGCTAAAAAGTTTGTATCATCAAGATAGATTGTAAAATTCTACTCCAAGATATCCAAACAAAAAACATGATTGATCTACGATCAAAAAATAATATCCAATCCTGCAAATTTTGATTTTTATCACAAATAAAGCTCTAGGGACATTATGATGCTACCAAAGAGATGGTTTTTGTATTATAATGAAAAATTGAAATATACTAGAATAGAGTGTCTTGAATCATCACATGTTTACTTTCTACTAGAATATCATCCACATAAAGTAAATAATTGAGATTTGCAAACTCAAATAGCGAAGTACAAAAACTCACAGTTTGCATAATCAAAGGAGTTGAAAAACTATATTATAATGTGCTATCTAAATATATTAAAAGTGAAAATAAAGTGAAAATATCTAAAGTGAAAATATTGTTGAGAGTCAAATACACATCCTAAAATATTGAGATCCGTAAATGCAACCAATAGATACAACAAATTAAAATATTGAAAAATTTATTCCAAAAAAATAGGCTTGTATTTTTTAGAATGTATACATGTGAGGCGTTTAAATTCTATGTTCTTAATCTAAAAAAAATTAATTAAAATGATAATCCCTTTTTGAATCCCTTGAAAATGGTTCAAATTAAAATACCATCATGTCTTCCAGTTTGCAAGTGTTAAAAAAAAAGTATGATCAATTTTTATGTACCATTTCATGATAATGATAGATTTTACATCATATTACAAAATCAAAGAAGATGATTATATATCTTGATAGATGGATGGCAAGTCAAATTGAAGATAGAGAAATGAATATTCTTTTTTATAGTCTAGCTTTAGAGATATATGAAGCTATAAAAATCAGGTTTGAGATATTTGTGAGAAAGTTCACAAAACATTAAAATACTTTATAGCATATTTATATTAACATGCTTTTATTGCTTTATAGATAGTTCCAGCCAATTCCATCCATAAAGAACGCTCTCATCGGCTTATGTTTCTTCAAATATCCTTGCTGTTTATAACATTTTTAAATTAGACTTTTGGGATAACTTAGATAGTCTTTTTTTAGCGATTTTATTAGAGTCTAGATTTAATAATTTTTGGGTTCATTTGATAAGATTTTTCCATTATATTTGCCATTTTCCTCATTTCTAAGATGTTTAGACTTTCATGTGAAGATTTACTGAAGAAGTTGAGTTTGTGTTAAATCATTAGAAATATAAAAAACTAGGGATCTAAAAAATAGACATGACGTTGTACTTGGGAAAAACTCCACTTCTATCTACTCATTTTGATAAATGAGTATTAGCATGCTAATTCTTATGTAGCGTCGTCATCAGAAGGTAGGATTTCTTTACATACAAAATCAATATGTATAAAAAATAAAAATATCAATGAATTCATTTTTTTGAAAAAATAAAAATTATAAAGTTACTGCTACAATATTAGTT